TCAAGAGCATAAATAACCCAAACTGCCCCGTTTCATGTGAGTTTTGGCTCATTCGTCGAGTCCCGCTGAGCAGCTCACGAGCAGGAACCAAATCTCAGCGTTTGGCCGCGGGTCTCGGGATGTTCTGTAAAGTCCCAGGTTCTGGACTCACGTGACAACGGGATAATCTTTCCCCGAAAAACATGAATTTTTATTCCCGCCCCACTCACCGCGAAGCACAAACCCGAAGGGAATCAAGAAAGAAAAACAAAAGACATTTTAATTCCTGCTTGATAAGACAATTTGGTGACTTTTGGGGACCCTTCATCTCTCCGTGGCGGGTCACAGTGTCAGGGGAGGGGTGGGGTGCTTGGATTTCGCCCGATTTTCACCATTTTCATAAAGAGCAGAAGGCGGCTGGGAGCTTCCATCAGAGGGAAAGGCTGCTCTCTGCAGGCTGCCAAACGCCTGGGCTGGCTCTTCCACAACGTCCCAAAGCCCAAACGCAGAAGGTTTTCCAGGGGAAAATGACTTAAACCCTTTTTCTCTTGGGAAAAAGAGCCAAAAAAAAAAAAAAATAAAATCCCTGCTTCCAGTTCATTACCGGCACTAAATGGGCAGAATGCGGCTGGAAGTGGTTTTTTTCCATCTTCGGATCGATATTTCTCCTGGGGTTGAGGCATCCAGGGGGAGAGCTCTCACACCGGGCCGTCGTGAGTCTCGGGAGGGTGCTGAGTCAGCGTTTCCCCCCAGCGCTGGGTCATTAATTACCTCATTATTAACGATCCACTGCCCCGGGTGTGAGCAACCTCCAGGGCGGCGGGGCCAAATTTCTGCTTGGAAATTGGGAGATTTTAAGGCTGGAGGAAAGAAGGTGGATTTCTGCTGCTAAATCCGGCCGCCAGCCCCGGATTTTTAGGGTGGAGAAGCCGGATTCCTGCGGAAAACAGGGGAGCCCCCAAAATGCGCCGAGGGGGGAGCGGGATGGGATGAGGTGGGCCGGGGTGGGGCCGAGCCCCTGCACCCCCCACCGCCCCAAATGGACCTGTAATCACCGCAGACCCCCCGCCCGCTCGAACAATTCATTTAATTCTGCCCAGACAACACGGGGGTGGCTTCAATTCGAGGTTAACGTGCTTGCCTCAAACCTCCGTGAAAACAGTAATAGTATTAGTAATAATATCAATAAATTGCAAAGAACAAATGAGGTCGTTCGCTCGGGTGGCCGAGGGTGGCTGGGTAATTGTGCGGCGTGTGCAAATTGAGATTAAATTAAAAAAAAAAAAAACACCACCCCTCTGCTCACCGTGGCTGGGGAGGAGCCGTCATTCGCAAAGCAAAAAATGTTCATTTTTTTCTTTCTTTTTTTTTTTTTTTTTTTCATTTAAGCGCTGAGCTTTCCCTGGGAGCGCGCAGCCCTGGTGTTTTTATTAATTTTTTAATTTCCAGATCATCAAACTTCTTCCATCGCTAATTAAAGGAGTGTAAGAGGTGGGGTTGGTGGCTCTCGGTATTATCGGCTTGGTTTTATCCAGTAAAGGCAACACGCAAGGGCCGGTCGGTGGGAACTGAAGCTCAGGAATTCAGCCTGGAAAGGAAACGTGCGGGTAATTAGCTGCCAGGGTAATTAGCCGTTGGTACAGGCTTCCACCAGATGTGGTAAATCGTCGCCCCCGTCCCAGGCTCCGCAGATGAAAATAAAAAGGGAAAATTATTGGCTCTCGGTCTAGTTTTCTGGAGAAAGATGAAAAATCCAGATTTCCTCCCCAAAATCCTTCCGAAATCCTGTTCTCAGCCGTCCCCTGCGCCGTGAAGGGCCACCAGCCCCCCACCTCCACCCACCCCGCTCATTAACGGAAAATTAAAGCTCGCCCAGCCATGGCTGTCACATTAATTAGTGCTAACGAGCCACAGCCAGGTTGTTCCCAGTTCTGGGCTGAGGCGAGGTGAAGAGCAGCACCTCCAGTGGCGCTTTTTTTTTAAATAAATAAATAAATAAATAAATAAATAAATAAATAAATAAAAATCAAGTTTTCTGCTTTTTTCACGAGAAGGCCAGCACTTCTCCCGCAGAAGACTTGGATTTGTGGCTTTCATTAGTGAAGAAAATTAACCCCACTCCTTTATGGCCGCGGCGGCCTTGTTTAATTTTCTGTTCTGCCCGCGCCTCTGCTCTACGCTTCGTTCCGAAGCCGCACCGCGGCTTTGCTGCCGCAAGAGAGGTATCGGGGGGGGGGCGCCGGGGGGGCTGAGCTTTGCGATCCCTACGGATCATCCCTGAGGGCAGCGGGGTTCTGGTCGTTGAGGCAGGAACACGAAGTTTTGGTTAACTGAAACGGGAGAAGCGGGTCCAGGCTGGGACTGGGACTCAAGGGTCCAGGTGGGTGTGGAATAGGAATTGCAGGGACTCAAGGGAGTGAAAGATAAATAGTCTTTTTGAGTGAAAGACTCACTCAAGGGTCCAGGCTGGGACTGGGACTCAAACTAAATGCTTTAGGCACGTGGAACCAGAGCAGACCTAGAAACTTTAATTCCGAACTTAAAGCCGCGCTTTAATTCACCCTCCACCGCCCAACCCTAACGGAGCTGGGGGGCAAAGAGCTGGGGGTCCTGGAGCCAAAGCCAGAGACACCAAACGCAGCCGATGCCCGTGGCCATGGCAGCAGCATCCCCCAGCCCTCCTCGTTGCCATAGCAACTCCTTCAGAGCATCAGCCCACCGCCCATCGCGGGGAGCCACACCCCGCGCCCCGAAAGCGGGCTGGGATCGCGCCGAGCCAAGGGACAGGCCGGAGGCAAAGGCCCGAGTTAGCACCCCCAAATAACCTGCTCTCCTTAATTAAATCACCTGCTTAATTAATTTCTGCAAGCGCCACGAAACCGCCAGGAATAACCTGCGCCCGGGCGGTCATTAGCTCCAGATAAACCCACTCAAGGGGGGGACAAACAGCGAGTCGCAAAGGGCGCGCTGGGAGGAAAAAAGGAGGGGGAAAAAAAAAATAAAAAGGGGAAGAAAATCAATTTAAAAACAAAAGGGGAAGAAAATCAATTTAAAAACAAAAGACACAAAGGGGATGAGGAAGCGCCGAGTGTCCTTCCGCGTTTTTATCTTCCCCTCCGCCGACTATTTTATCGAGTGCTGGCGTTGGTTAATTCTGCACAGGATTGAAAAAAAAATGCAAAACTCCAGGAAACTGGTTTTGGAGCAGCCCCTTACCCCGAAGCGTCACGAAGCCGCTTAAACCACTCGCTCTTTATTTCTTTTGCCTGGTGAATAAAACGCAACATGCCACAAAGCTAAAAACACCATGAAATCCCTTTAATTAGAAGGGGCTCCACTAATAACCCTGCCTGAGCCTAATGCAGCGCACGGGCTGATAATTAACGTGTTTTGAATGGGTTTAGGCAGCTGGGGAGCTGCCGATTTGCCACCGCGGGGCAGGTGCCGCCGCGGATTTGCCTTTCTCCAGGTGTTGTCAGCCCCAAAAAAAACAAAGCGCCGGAGCCAGCCACCGTTCCCAAGGCACGGAGTGAAGGCGGCACCTTCGCGCCGCGCGGGGAGCGAGCGTCCTCCGGAGGGATGCTCGGGTCACTTGGTGCTAAGGCCGGGGGTTCGGGGGCAGATTTTTGGTGGCGAGGTGCCGGCCCGGCACGCTCCGGTGTTTTCTTCCGCTGGGCTAGAGGGAGGAAAGGAGATGAGGCAGGGGTGAGCCCGGTATGGGAGTGCCACACGCTGGCCGCGCGGCGCCAGGCAGCGTCGCAGGACATGGGACATCCCCAAAAACCCTGAAAACATCCCTTGTCCTGCAGCCCCCCCCCCCCCCCGCGTCAGCTGGGGGTGCAGACACCCCGCCGGGCGCCCGCACGGGCAGGGGAGCCCCGACCCCCAGCAGCGCACTCCGAGCACAAAGGCTATTTATTTCCTTATTTCCTTTTTTTTTTTTTTTTAAATCTTACAAAAGCAAAAAAGGGGAATTCAATCAGGTCGTGCCTCCCGGCGGGGCCGAGCCACCAGACAGACACCGCCGGTGTTTGCGCGTTTCTGTTCCAGTTATCCAAGCGGCACGTGGGTTTGCAGGGCCGGCGCTGCCGTTTGAGGTACGGGCGCCTGCGCCCGTGCCCCAGCTCCACCCCCACGAGTCACCCCGCGGAACGGTGCCGCGGGGCTTGCGGGTACTCCGGGTTGGGGACGTGGAAGCGGGGCGCGGAAGGACCGCCCGGAGAAGCAGCGGGAGGCCCCTGGACTGGTGGGAGGCTGGCTGTGCTCCCCCCTAGCAAGGCAAACCCGACATCTATGACTGAGGACAACGAAGCGGGCCGAGGTTCGGCCACGGTGACGTGGAACTCTCGACCCCCGGGCTACGAGTCCTTGCCTCCCTCGCCCCGCCGGCGGTCGGCCGCCCCGAGCGAGCTCGGCGGAGGGACGCCCGGGGCTCAGCGCGATACCGAGGGCAGGAGGCACCGCCAGGAGCTGCATCTGGCCCTCCTGCCCTTGGCCCCTCGAGGGCCCCCGAACCTGCCCGGTGGGTCTCGGCCCACCCAGGCCCACACACAGGGGCGCTTCCGAACGGGTGTTTTACAACCTGAGGTCGTCAGCGACGGGGACTGGCTCGGGGAAACGCCCGGAGGGCTGGGGCTTACTGCCTGCCTTAAGAACCTCACGCAAACGGCCCGCTATGTCCGGGCCGTATTGCTGATCGCGGCGGCCTGTCCGCCACCCGTTTTACAACGCCTGACGGAGAAACCGGTCGAGCGGAGCTGAACAGCTGAACAGAAAGGGGGAGCGGGTGGGGGACGGCCGGGGAGGGCTGGGGGTGCTGGCCGGTCAGCGAGGGACTGACCAGCACATCCTGCCCTTGGTGGGCCTGAGGCCCCGGGAGCAGCAGACACCAGTGGAGACGGAGGAACGGGGCTCGGATGCTGAGTTTTAGCTCAAGGAAAAACGTGCAAGACTGCGGTTAACGGAAAACGTCTGGCCGCTCCCTAAGCAGCGGAAAAATTTCGCCTTAAGTGTATCGAACATTGCACTTGTAAGATTTAATTAACCAACAGGCTTAGGACAGCAGTAACGAACTTGTAGGCAGTGAGTCGTCCGGCGTGCCCCGGGGAGAGGGCAATGGCCAGCCAAATGCTGCCAAGCACTGTTAGAGGCTGTGTAACGGTGGAAGAGCTGCTGCCAGTAAAAGACTCCTTGCTTACCCCCGGCTCAGTCACCGTCAGACACCCCCAAAACACCAAACTCACCCGAGAGCAACGGAGGTGGCGGGGGGGGGGGGTCACCCCAATAACGGGGGTCCCCTGCCTGTCCCCGGCATCGTGGCGCTCGGCTGGCGAGCCCCCCTCACCGGTGCTGCTTCTTGTGCCGGAGGATCTCCGTGGGGGTGAAGGTGAAATCCCGCTGGCACGCGTCGCAGTGGTAGGACCGGTGGAGGGCGGAGGTTTTGGCGGGGCTTTCGGGTGTTTCTTCTGGGGGGGCTGGGGGAAAAAAAACGAGGGGAAAAGGAGGAAAAAGGGGGATCAGCAGGAAAACGAAGCCACGCAGGGCCCTTTTTTTTTTTTTTTTTTTCCCCCTCCTTGCACCCCTAAAGCGCGGCCCTCGGTGGCGTTTTGAGGGGCGTCTCCTAAAAGCCGGCACGGCTCTGCCCACCGAGCAGAGATGCTCCCGCCCCGCCGGGAAAAACCGAGCTGGTTCTCCCCGATTATCCCTTGTCACGGCCCCCTTTTTTTTGGGGGGGGGGGGGGGGAACCTCACCCTGGGCGGGCCGGCAAGCGCTTTCGTGGCACATGCGCTCCAGGGGGGTGAAGGGCATGTGGAGGTCGCAGTGGGGACACGTCCAGAAGCTCCGCAAGCAGTCGCTGTAGAGGTCCGTGTCCGTCTGGGGGACACGAAGGGGACGTTCAGACGGCGACAAACAGAGCGCGAGGGGCGGGAAAAGGGCCTACTCACAGCCAGGCAGTTGTAGGTGAGAAACTCAGTCACCCTGTGGCCGCCCTTCACCTCGTCGGGCTCCATCTCCATTCCCTGGAAAAGCCCCGGGAGCCGGGGAGCGGCCGGCACCGTCTGGGGGCCGACGTAGAGGTTTTGTTTCTCCAACCCGGTGAGCTGGCGCAGGTGGTACGGCACCTGCCGGAGGGCGGTGGGGATTTCAGGGTGGGGGAGCTGCACGGGTTCCCCCCTCTTCCCTCTTTCTCACCCCGGCGGGGGATTAAAAGCCACCCCCCACCCCCCCGCGCCGCCTCACCTCCGTGCGCAGGAATTCCAGCAGCTGCCGGGTGAGCGCGGAGACGTCGCGGGAGCGGGGCCGAGGGCTGGGTTCCTCCCCCCGTTTCTCCAGAAGCTGGTGGAGGAGCTCCTCCCAGGCGGAGCGGAGCTGCAGGGCGGCGGAGAGGAGGCGCAGGGCCGACTCGGGGGAAGGGACGGTGAGCTCCAGCCAGCCGTCCGCTACCAGCCGGGCGCAGTCCGCGCTGGTGTCCAGCGAACGGGAGAAGAGCAGCAGAGCCTGGAGGAGCGGAACGCAGCCGGGCTGGGGGGCGAGGAAGACTACCAAAAGGGGGTGTGGAGAGGAAGAGGAGGAGAGCCAAGAGCTTACCTGTAAGGCTGGGACCCGCACGCAGTTCATCAAGTAGGGTTTGTTGGTCTCCAGCAGCGAGACAAAAGCGAGGAGCTGGTGGTGGCGGCTCAGCCCCTCCGTGGGGTCTGCAAGGGGGTGTCTCAGCTGAACCCCAAACCTCCCCCCGCCCCCAGCGCCCGGGAGCTGCCAAAGCCCGAGGCCGGCGCCGAACAAAAAGCAAGGGAGAAGCAAAACTCCCTCCTCCGAGCTCGGGGCGGTCGCACACCTCCGGTGCCAGCGCGTTCCGGTCCCTCCTTGGCGTGGAGCAGCTCCGGGCTCGTAGCGAAGACGCAGGTGGGATGAAGCACCACCCCCTGCTTGTTTTTGGTGTGAAAAACCTGCAGCGAGAGGCAAACGGGCGTCGAGGGAGAGCGAGGGGCTGCGGGGGGAGCCCCGGGGCCTGGGGGGGGGACGACACGGACCTGATCGGAGTCTTTGCGGCCGCTGTTGAGCGGGTCGGGGAGGGCCAGCTGGGGGTAAAGCCCCCGGCACAGCACCAGTTTGAGCAGAGTGAGCTGCGAGGAGGAGAGGGCTGAGCTGGAGACGGCCTGGAGCTCGTCCACGTTGTGGCGGAGCTTGAATTTGACATCCTGCAGAGGACAGAGCGAGCGTCAGGCGCCTGGCCGGTCGGCTCCAGCCTCCCCAGGAGAAGAAACGGACGCTGGGACCACCTGGATGTCGATGCCGCGCTCCCCCTTCCCACGGGCGCCACCGTCCTCCTCCTCCTCGCCGGAGGAAGCGCCGGCTCCGTCCTGCAGCCGCAAGACCTTGCGCTTCCGACCTTCCGCCTCCGCGTGGGAACGCCAGAGGCGGTGGAGCTCGCGGCGCTCCCGGTGTCGGCTCTGCCGGCTGTAGCTGTCGCTGGGCCGGCCCGAGGGTTCCTCCAGCAGCCGGTGGTCTCGAAGAAGCTCCTGGGGAGGCGGGAGGAGGTCGCTGAGCCCCGCCGCCGCGGCCGGGGGGTGGGCAGGTCGGGTCCATTCAGAACCGGCAGCGCCTTCCCCGGAACGAAAGCGAATTCCGCCCCCTCCCCGCCGAGGTCGGGCCCCTCACCTGGAACTGGCGCCGCAGGTTGGCGGCTTCGTAGAGCCGGTGCTCCTCCAAGCCTCGCCGCCGGCACCACTTCCGAGAGCTGCCGCTTCGCTCCGATTTCACCTGCTCCGGGACAGCGCTGCTCGAGCCTCCCGCTTTTCCCACCCCAAAAATCAGCCCCTCCGCGGCGCCAGCAGCGTCCCGCACCCCCACACACACACACACACACCCCCCCCGTCATTCCGCAAAGCGGTCTCCCCACATTCCAAGCGCCGCGTCGGCAGGAACCCCACCTGGACCCACTCGTTGAAGAGGTTGAGCAGCGTCAGGGGGTCGCCGTGGGGGCTCTCGAGGGGCCGCCGGGCCGTGGCGCAGTCGGGGTTGGGGTGAGCGGATCGCAGGAAGGGGGACTGCACGCTCAGCGCCGCCGCCACCGTCAAGGTGGGCTCGGCCAAGCCAAAGAGAGCGCCCAGGACCAGCATCTTGCCTGCGTGGCGAGGGCAAGGCGGGCAGCGAAGGGAGGGCAGCGCCCCCCTCAGCTCCTCCTGCCGCCGTTTCTGCCTCGCGGGGGGCACCCCGAGTTACTCACCGACCACCACGTCCACCGGCAGCTGGGCCAGGAGGGTCCCGATGAGCGTCAAGTCTTCGGCCTCATCCAAGGCTCCCTGGTCCTTGAGGTAGCGCAGGGCCGTCTCCAAACTGGAGGAGGGAGGAGGCTCCAGGAAGGGGAAGCTCCGGGGATCGCCCAGCCCCATGCTCTTCAGCTGAGAGTAAAGCAAGCCCCGCGACAGCGGGATTTACAAAGCCCCGCCAGGAGCCACCGCAGCCCGACGCTCCGCCTGCAGCCCGGCCTCACGCTCAGCGGGGCGGCTTCCCCCAGATCTCCGCCAAGGAAAGCCCCGGCGCGAGCGGGGGGATCCCCCGTTTTACCTGGAGCACCAGAGAGTCAAGAGCAACCCGCTGGATCTCCGGCACGGGGTAGGGGGAAAAGGCGTCGTAGTCGGACTCGGCGTAAAGGCGGTAGCAGACGCCGGGGCCGGTCCTGCCGGCGCGTCCCTTCCGCTGCTCGGCGCTCGCCCGGCTGATCCAGAATTCCTGCAGCCGCTGAAGTTTGCCCTGAGGGTCGTAGCTCATCTCCTTCACCTTCCCTGGGGGGAGCGGGAGGGAAGGAGAAGCTCAGGGAGGGGAAAGTTTTCCCGCCCAGCGGAGAGGGGAGGGGGGATTTTTACCCGAATCCAGGACGAAGCGCACGCCGTCGATCGTCACCGAGGTCTCTGCGATGTTGGTGGAGAGGATGCACTTACGGACGCCGGGTGGGGGCACGTCAAACACCTGAACAAAAGGAAAAAAAAAAACCGACAGTTCCATGTCAGCACAGCCGGCTGCGGGGAGGAGCCAACCTCCAGAGAAAGGGGGCTGCGCCCCCAACGCCCCACATATATGCGCCCCAGTCGGGCTCAGCCCCTCGCCCACCTTATCCTGCTCGGCGACCGAGAGGGTGCTGTGCAGGGGGAGCACAACCCAGCGCTGGGTACGGGCGGCGTAGGCCTGCGCCGCCTCCAGCACGGCGCCGATTTCGGCCACCCCGCTGAGGAACACCAGCAGGTCCCCGCGCTCCTCCGGCGGGTATTTGTGGTCGATGGCTTGCAGCACCCGCAGGTAGGGGAGGGGGTCCAGGCGCTCCGATTTCCCCCACTTCCCACCCACGGGTGCTTCCTCTTTAGGGATGGGCTGGTAGATGACCTGCGGGAGCGCAGAGAGGGAAGACGTTCGCTCCGGGCGGGTTCCCGCGCCGGGATTCATCCCCAGAATCACTCCCCGCCCTCACCGAGATGGGGAAGATCCTTCCTGGCACCTGCAGCACCGGGGCACCACCAAAATACCCCGAAAAAAGGCGGATGTTGATGGTGGCCGACATCAAGACCAGCTTAAGGTCCGGGCGAGCGGGCAGGAGCCGCCGCAGGACCCCCAGGAGGAAATCGCAGTGGAGGTGCCGCTCGTGAACCTCGTCGGCGATCAGGACGTGGTACCCGGGCAGCGTCGGCTCCCGCTGCACCTGCCGCAGCAGCAGCCCCTCCGTCAGGAAAACGATCTTGGTGGCGGGCGAGCGGGTGCTCTCGAAGCGGATCTGGTAGCCCACCTGGGGCAGGAGGAGGAGAAACAGAGAAAAATCAATGAATTAGACGAAACAGAGTAAAACGGAGTGTTTCAGCTGGGGGCGGGGATCACGACAGTCACCTAGGCCGACCGCCTGACCGAACGCTAAAGGCTTTTAAGGGCATTTTTAAGGTGTTTTCCTCTCAAACACCGGCAGGCGGGGGGCACTGACACCTCCCGAGGTGTTTGACCGCCCTTCGTGGCGCAAAAACATTTCCGAAAATCCAGCCTGACCCCCCCCCCCGATGCAGTTTTGAACTTTTCATCCCTCCAGAGAAGCAAGAGCACCTCCCAGCTCAGTACCGTCAGCCGATTCACGTCGCTAAAGATACGAATGTGTTGGTTGGTTGGGGTTTTTTTTTTAATATCGTTATTTTCAACGGTTTTTGAACAAGCCCCAAACTCAAGCCTTGAGGAACAGCGCCCAAACCAGCCCAGCTCGCTACAACCCGTTTGCTCAGCCCGTCCTTAGCGCCCAGTAAGGGGGCGGGAAGAAAACCAGCCGCGCTGCGCAGCTCCCGGGTCCCCCCGTCGCCAGCCCCCCCGAGCTCACCTGGCTGCCGTACTGGTGCAAGCTCTCGTAGCCCACCCGTTTGGCCAGCGAGACGCAGGCGATGCGGCGAGGCTGGGTACAGGCCACGTGGCTGTAACCGGCCGCCAACAAAAACTGAGGCACCTGCGTGGACTTGCCGCAACCGGTATCGCCGGCGATCACCACCACTTGGTTTTGAGCCACGGCGCGCAGGAGCCGGTCCCGGTACTGGGAGATGGGAAGGGCGGCTCGTTCCCGCTGCAGCTTGGCCAGTTTGGCGAAGCTTTGCTTTTGGGTGAAGTCCAGGTAGTGGAGCAGAGCGGCGCGGAATTCCGCGAGGGGTTCCTGGGGGACGCCCGCCGCTCCTCGCCGTCCCGGCGCCGCGCCGGAGCTCGGCACCGTGAGGTTGATGCGGTACCGGGGGTCGTAGCGGCGGGGCAGGCCGAGGGGCCCCGCCCGCTCGTGGGGACCGGGGGCCGCTTCACCTTCGGTTCTCCGGCTCCGAAAACGCCGGAGCCGTTCGAAAAAAACCCAGAAATTGCGAACGTCCTCGGAGCCGGCTCCGACGGGATCCTGCTGGTGGAAATAGAGCTCCTCCAGCCGGCGCCGCGTGGCGGGACAATCCCAATCCCACTGGGACGGCGAAGGGGCCGGCTCCCGCCGACGGGATCTGTCCTCCTTCTCCTTCTCCGACGGCATCCCCGGCACCCCCGCTGCCGGTCCCGGAGGGTCTGCGCCGGGCCGGGGGCGGGTGGGAACCGCGAGGGGTCTGTGCTCGGCCTCGGCTCCTTCTGGGGGGGACTGGGAGGTCGGGGGGGGGGACACACGGTGAGACCCTGCTCGGCCCTGGCCACCACCGGAGCCTCCTCCCTGCCGGGACCCGCAGCGCCCCACATTGTCCTGGGAACCCCCCAGACCTGGGACCCCCCCCAACCCAGCTCAGCCCCCTGGGACCCCCCCACATATACCGCTCCAGCTCCTTAGGATGCCACCCCCAACCTGGCCCAGGCCCCCTGGGACCCCCCCACACCCCCGTCCAGCTCCCTGGGACCCCTGAGCACCCCATCTGAGCCCCCTGGGACCCCCCCCACACCCCACCCAGCCCCCTGGGACCCCCCCGTGAACCCCAACCCAGCCCCATGGAACCCCACACACCCCCAGCCAACCCCATAGGACCCCTGAGCACCCCAGGACCTCACACACGCCAGCACAAACCCTTGGCACCCCCCAAGCACCCCAGGGACCCCCCACACCCCCATCCAAGCCCCCTGGGACCCCCACAACCCTGTCCCAGCCCCCCTGGGACCCCCTACAAGCCAGCCCAACCCCCTGAGACCTCCATGCACCCTCATTCAGTCCCCTGGGACCCCCCACGAACCCCAACCCAGCCCCACAGGACCCCCCACACCCCCACCCACCTCCCAAGACCCCCAAGACCCCCAACCCAGCCCCCTGAAACCCCCCACACCCCATCTGAGCCTCCTGGGGCCCCCATGCACCCAACCAAACCCCCTAGGGCCCCCATGAACCTTGTATCAGCCCCCTGGGACCCCCCGTGAACCCCAACCCAGCCCTCTAGAACCTCTCACCCCCCCAGAGGACCTCCAGGACCCCCCACACCCCATCCAGCCCCCTGGGACTCCCTGTGAACCCCAACCCAGCCCCACAGGACCCCACATACCCCCACCCAACCCTCAGGACCCCACACACCCCAACCCAGGCCCCTGGGACCCCCCCCCCACCCCATCCGAGCCCCCTGGGAACCCCCCCCACCCCATCCGAGCCCCCTGGCACCCCCCCCCATCCGAGCCCCCTGGGAACCCCCCCCCCCATCCGAGCCCCCTGGGAACCCCCCTCACCCCATCCGAGCCCCCTGGGACCCCCCACACCCCACCCGAGCCCCCTGGCACCCCCCCCACCCCACCCGAGCCCCCTGGGACCCCCCACACCCCACCCGAGCCCCCTGGCACCCCCCTCACCCCACCCGAGCCCCCTGGCACCCCCCCCACACCCCACCCGAGCCCCCTGGGACCCCCCCCCCCCCCACCCGAGCCCCCTGGCACCCCCCTCACCCCACCCGAGCCCCCTGGGACCCCCCCCCACCCCACCCGAGCCCCCTGGGACCCCCCCCACCCCACCCGAGCCCCCTGGGACCCCCCCCCACCCCACCCGAGCCCCCTGGCACCCCCCACACCCCACCCGAGCCCCCTGGCACCCCCCACACCCCACCCGAGCCCCCTGGCACCCCCCCACACCCCACCCGAGCCCCCTGGCACCCCCCACACCCCACCCGAGCCCCCTGGCACCCCCCCACACCCCACCCGAGCCCCCTGGCACCCCCCCCACACCCCACCCGAGCCCCCTGGGACCCCCCCCCACCCCACCCGAGCCCTCAGGACCCTCCCGCCAGGCCCGGCTCCCCAGTGACCACCCCACCCCCCCCGCACCACCCCCCCGCGGCCCGTCCCGCATCCCCCCCGCCTCAGGCCTCTCCGAACCCCAATTCCCTCGCCGCTCCTCGGCCCCCCCGCCGCCCCCCCCGCCGCCCCCCCCGCCGAACCGCCGTCCCGGGGCCGGGGCCGCCGCCGCTCCAGGCCCGGCCGGGCCCGCGCTCACAGGCCGCGGCGGGACGGGACCCCCCGGGGCCGCCAGGGGGCGCCCGAGCGCCGCCGCGCCGAGGGGAAGGGGCGGGGCTGCAGGGGAGGGGCGGGGAAAGGGGCGGGGACGAGGGGGAAGGGGCGGGGCTGCAGGGGAGGGGCGGGGAAAGGGGCGGGGACGAGGGGGAAGGGGCGGGGCTGCAGGGGAGGGGCGGGGAAAGGGGCGGGGAGTGAGCGGGGAGAGGGGCGGGGCTTCCCCGGAGCCGCTCGACGGGGCGGGAGGGGGCTGCGGGCACCGCTGCGCCCCCCTGTCCCCAAGTGTCCCCAAAAATCTCTGCTGCGCCCCCCTGTCCCCCAAAATCTCTGCTGTGCCCCCCTGTCCCTAACTGGCTCTGCTGTGCCCCCCTGTCCCCAAATAGTTCTGCTGTGCCCCTCTCTCCAACTGTCCCCCCGTCCCTAATTGTCCCCAAAAATCTCTGCTGCGTCCCCCTGGCCCCAAATATCTCCGCTGCTCCCCCATCCCCAACTGTCCCCCCTGTCCCCAAATATTTCTGCAGTGCCCCCCTGTCCCAAACTCTCCCCAACTAGCTCTGCTGTTCCCTTGTCCCCAACTGTCCCCCTTGTCCCCAAGTGACCCCAAATAGCTCTGCTGTGCCCCCCTGCCCCCAAATGTCCCTAACTGTCCCCAAATAGCTCTGCTGTGCCCCCCTGCCCCCAAATGTCCCTAACTGTCCCCAAATAGCTCTGCTGTGCCCCCCTGCCCCCAAATGTCCCTAACTGTCCCCAAATAGCTCTGCTGTGCCCCCCTGCCCTCAACTGTCCCCCTTGTCCCAACTGTCCCCAGATATTTCTGCTGTGTCCCTGTCCCCAATTATCCCTGCTGTTCCCCCACCCCCATCCATCTCCGCTGTGCCCCTGTCAACTGTCCCCGAACGTCCCCCCTTCCATCCCCATGACACCCAACTGCCCCCCCCCCCCCCCGGTGGTGACGATCCCACCAACCCCCGTCACCCCCCTCCACCAGCTCCCCCCCCCCCGGAGGTGAAGCAGGACCCTGGGTTCACCACCTGACACAAGGACTTTCCAGGGGAGGGGACAAGACACCCTGGGGCACTTATTGCGTCACCCACGAGCTCAGAAATCTGCCGGGACAGCAAAAATCTTGCCCAATAAATTAAAAAAAAAAAAAAAAAAAAAAGGAGAAGTGATGGACCGAGGTCTTGCTCAAATCTTGAGGGAGCTTCGATATTTATTGGTGATGGTGGACACAGCTGCAGTGAAGCCGGGGAGATGAAGGGCAGCAGCAACGGGGTGGACTTGAGTTTTCTGGGGTGATGGAGCGAGGTTGAGCTTGGAGGTGGGGGGTCACCCCCCCCGGGACCTCGCTGGGTGGTGGGGATGTGGGGCTGGGAGAGGGGAGGAGCTGGAAGAAGCAGAAGAAGGTGGCGTTGCGTTCAAGGACAAAGCCCTCTCGTCCCCGTTAGGCCACCGAGGAAGCCAGGAGGTCCCCAGGGGGAGGTGGGCACACAACTTCTCCGGCCCGCAACCACGGGGTGCAAGCGGTGGGGAAAGGGGGCAACGGAGGCATCTTCTCCTGGGACCTCCAGGGGAAGAGGCGGTGGTGGTGGCCTCAAGCACCACAGGAGCCCTTCCCGCCCCGGAGCCACCTCGGTCCCCGTCACACTGTGGTGCTGACGCTTTGGTCATCCACGGTGGACTTGGTCTTCATCCTGCTGTCCCCCATGGTGCTGGTGGGGTCGTCGCTCAGCACGCCCCGCAGCACGGCTCTCCAGGACCGCTGGACCTTGTCCTTGAAGTCCTGACCCATGACGACGTAGATGATGGGGTTGATGCAACTGTTGATGTAGGCGACGCCGGCCACGATGGGATCGGCTTCCAGGGCGCCCTTGAACAAGGAGCTGTGAGGACGGGTGGAGGCCAAGATCAAGCCCACGACGTGGTAGGGCAGCCAGCACACGAAGAAGCTGAGGATGACCACCAAGATGAGCTTGATGGCTTTCTGGGAGCGGGCGAAGCCCTTGCTGTGGACACGGGCCAGCAGCAGGCTGTAGCAAGCCGTGATCACCACGAAGGGCACCAAGAAGCCGCAGACGAAGCGGGTGACGGCCGTGACGAGCTCGGTGAGATGCTGGTGGTGCCCCACGGCCGCGTAGTCCAGGACGCAGGTGGTCTTCTCGGAGAAGTAGTCGAGACGGGTGGTACGGAAGATGAAGGAGGGAAGGGTGAGGAGCCCGGCCAGGAACCAGGCGGCCGCGCAAGCCCCCCGGGCCAGCCCCAGCGTCCGGTGGTTTTGGCACCACACCGGCCGCGTCACCAAGGCGCAACGGTCGGCGCTGATGGCCATCAGGAGGAGCACGCTGGCGAACATGTTGAGGATGGTGAGGGAAGGCAGCAGCTTGCAGGCGAAGCGACCCAAGGGCCAGTGGTGGTCACGGGCCAGCGGCAGGGCCAGGAAGGGCAGGGCCAGGCAGCAGAGGAGGTCGGCCACGGAGAGGTTGAGGAACCAGACGCCGTTCACCGTGCGCCGCAGCTCGAAGCCCGTCACCCAGATGACGGCTCCGTTGCCCAGAACGCCCAGGAGGAAGATGAGGGCGTAGAGCGCCAGGACGGCGCGGTAGCTGTGCGGGACTTCGTAGCCGTCGAGATCGTAGATGGAATAGTCGTCCAAGTTGGAGTAATTAAAGGTGTAATTGGGCATCGAGAAGTCCATCCTCCACCAGCTCCCAACCTAGAAACCACACTGTCAGACCAGCGTACGAGGGTTTGGGTCGAAGGAACCTTCAGTGAGCATCTCGGCCACCCCCGCTGCCACGGGCAGGGCCACCACCCTCCCCTGGCTCAGGCTGCTCCAAGCCCCGTCCGCAGCTTCACCCAACGCTTTGGGATGAAGGAACCTTCAAAGACCATCCGAGTCCCACCCCCCACAGCGGGCAAGGACATCCTCTGCTAAATCAGGTTGGTCTGGCCAACCTCATCTAGGGCACCCACAAGTTCTCCGGACAACCTGTCGCCACCCTCATCATAAAACGTATTTTCTTGTCCATCCTCATCATCACTTTTCCCTCCATCCAACGGTCCTCTCCCTTCACGGAAGAGGCAGCACCTCCAAGACCAGCCCCAGTGAGATGTTCCTCAAGAAGGTGCTCAGCTTCGTGGTTTCCTCCCCCGCAACCCCGGTCACCAAGGAAATGGGCATTTCCCCACTTCCTCACCGAGCTGCCCTCGGCTGCGTGGCGCAAGAGGTTGGAGGAGGAAACGCCGGAGGAACTGCAGCTCCGGCATCTACTGGGTGGGTGCCGCCGCGCTCTCAAGGCCCGGGGGGGGGGGAAAGAGAAACCTCTCGGTGCCCAAAGCATCGCCAGACCCAAGCAAAGGTGGGGAAAAAAAAAACCAAACCAACCAACCAAACCCCTGAAGGAGAATGAGGAAACCACGGGGAAGGTCTGGGATCTTCTGATGACCCAGACCATGGAAGAAGGAGCAAGGAGGAGACAGGGCGACTCCAACAATCGCCCAACGCCTGAGGAGGAGCTGCAACCACCCCACCGCAGCGGGGAAAATCCATCCCCCTCCGAGGAGAAGGATGGAGATCGCCTCGAGGCCGGCTTCCCCCTTCCCCGCCGGGATGGTGTGGGAGTGATTATTTTTTTTTTTTAGGTGAAAGGAGAGAGCCTTGGCCATCGCGCGCCCTCCCCCAGCCGCTCACCTGGGTCCTCGCCAGCTGCGGCCGTGCTCCCCGGGGCCAGCGGGGCAGCGCCGGGGTTTTATACGGCGGCGGCGAACAGGAAGCAACGCCGAGGGGGAAGAGATCATCGGTGGAGGCAAAAAAAAAAAAGCACCCAAAAAAAACCAAAAAAAAAAAAAAAAAAAAAAAAAAACAAAAAACATGAAGAAGAGAAAGAAGAAGAGGCCGGGTAGGGGGAGAGGGGCTGGGAAATCTTGTCTCCGGGGGGAACCAAGGAGGGGGAATGATGAGGGGGAGCTGGCGGTAGTGAACGGAGCTGAAAAAGGAGGTGTTGACCCCAAAATGGTGCTTTTTTTTTTTTTTTTTTTATTTTTTTTTGAGGGTTATCAGGCTCGGTTCAGCTCAAAGGTGATGCCAGGCCAGCCCGAGCCTGGTCCATGGTGGTTGGGGAAAGCTGAGGGGTCTCGTGGGGATACCTCAAAATCTGGGGGGTGGAACTCCTCATCCTCTCCTGACCTGTCCCTGAGGACACCCTGAGTGTCACAGGGAGATTTAGGGGAGACCCCTCCTGCTCTTAACACTCGTTTCACCCCAAAACCTCCAGCAGAGCCCTTACACTCCTCATCTCACCCCCAAAAACCAAGAACCCCTCAAGAGGTAACAGCCACGGGCGGCTTCACCGGTCCCTTCCTGCTCCCCCCTCACCTCCCCAGCCTTGAGAGGGGGATCCCCATGAGCATGGGGGGGGGACCCCAACACCAAAAGGGGGGGACCCCCGTGAGCAAGGGCCAGGCACAAAGCTGTTTTGGAGGTTTATTTTACGAAGAGCCCGAGGCGGGCGCAAGCCCACCCCTCCCACCCAGCTCCAGGGCACGGGAGGGGAACAGGAGGGGGACACCCCCCCCACACACCCCCCCAAAAATACCCTGCTGGGGGTAGGAGCCTTGGGGGAAGCTGCTGGGAAGTGGGGGGGGGGCGCAGCTGGAGACACCCCCCTCCCCAAACCCTTTGGGGACCTTGGGCGCTGCCACCACCGTGACACCGGGCTCAACCCAACTCCCCTGTGGGCACAGAAGGGATTTGGGGACCCCCCACACCCACTCCCCCCCCACTCAGGTGTGGGTAGGTGATTTTTTTTTTTTTTTTTCCTTTTTTTTTTTTTTTTTAACCCCCACCCCGGGTTATTCCTGCCGGCTCACAGTCTCTAGAAAGCTGGAGGGGTCACGGCGGGAGCGACCCGGGTGACGGGGGCACCGTCCGCGGACATCGGGGCGCTTGGCCGTCCTGTCGAAGGAGAAAAAGAAGAAGGAGGCAGCGTGAAGGCAGCTGCCAGCTTGAGAAAACAGGGGGGGGGGGAACACAAGGAAAAGGGGGGACACAGTGGGGGGGTCCAGTCCCTGCCAGCTCCACGCTGGGCTACAGGGCCCGATTCTGCGGGTGGGGGGAGCAGGGGGGGGTGGGTGCTTTGTGCCCCCCCCTCACCTCCGCTCTCCGAACCCGGAGCCTTACCCTGATTCTACAACCTCCCCCCCCCCAGCGCCGGCCCTAAGGGAGAAATCAGTCCCTTGGGTTGGTTGGGAAGGGAATGTAATCCGGGACAGAGGGACGGATGGACAGACATACAGACGTGGCAGCCTCCCGGGTAAGCGCAGCGCCCGCCAGCCTCCGCCACCCGACGCGCTTCCCGGGCTTTGGAAGAAATCGGATCCCGAACCCGGAGGTGCCGGGAAGAAACCGCGGCAACTCCGGGATGTTTTGCAGGTAGAGTCAGTCTGTCAGCGGGGAGCGTCAGAGCCGGCAAGCAGAAGTGGGAAGGACAGACAGACAAGACAAGAGCGCGGAGGGTGGCGGGTGTCAGTCGCCCGTTAGCGGCCGGCCGGAGCAGGCGAATTCTTACGGAAACGCACCCGCTCGAAGTCTGTGATCTCCACCGTGCCGGGGGCTGCCTCCGCGTCCGGCTGGCGGCGAGACGCTGCGGGCCCAGGAGGAGAAAAATAGGAAAAAAAAAAAAAAAAAATTTTAAAAATTAGGGGGTGAAATAGTAGGAGCGAGGAGGGTCCCCTGTGGTGGGTGTCCCCCTCCCCGCTCCCCACCTTCCGTCCCGTCCTCCGCCCGGCTCCTCGCCGCCTCCTCGCGCTTCTCTAAAAGTTCTTGCTCCGTGTTCGGCCTCGGTTCTTCCCCTTGAGGGGGGGCTGCGGGGCTCTGCACCCCCCGGGGGGGCCCGGTGAGCTCCCCGGGGTTCAAACCTGGGCAGGGGTGGGGAAGAAACCGGAATCAAGCCTACGCTCAGCTCAGCCCCTTGTCCTGCTCTGGCTCTGCATCCCCCCCCCCGCTTCAAATCCCAGCCCAGCTTTGGTGTCCCCCTCACCACCCCCCCCCCCCCAAAATTTTACCTGGAGTTTCTCCGGAAGCCCCTCTCGACTTGGGGACAGTGGGAGCTGAAAGGGGACTGTCCCCCAGGCTGCTGCGGGGAGAGGTCAAGTCCATCTCCTCGCCCCAGTCCGAGACGGGCTGGTGACCTCCCACGGGGGAGAAGGGGCTCGGGGGGGTGTCACCCCCCCACCCTGGGGCAGCTCCCACAGTGCTGGGGGGGGACCCGTTTAGTTTAAGACCCGGGGTCTGCCCAGTTCGGGGGGGTCGCTGAATTTTGGGGGACGCACTGCGGGGTCCTTCGGCCTCGTTCAACGACCCGGGGCTGCCGCTGCCTTCCTCCTCCTCCTCCTCCTCCTCCTCCTCCTCGCTGACGTCCTCCCACTGGTCCTCATCCTCCTCGGGGCTCAGGGAGCGGGGGGGCTCCGGGAGGGCCCCGCTTGGTGCTTCCTCAGCCTGGGGGCACAAAGAGAGGGGGTCAAAAAGAAGGGGGGGGGGGGGGCGGGGGGAGAAGCGCACCGCGGCGCAGCCGAGCGCCCCCCCCGGCGTTTTACCTCCCGCCTCGCGGCTTCCTCGGTCGACGCCGGCAGCTCCTTCTCTTCCCACCGGTTATCGTGCATGCTGGAAGAGGAAAAAAAGATGATCCAAGATAAAAAAATCAGTAGGAAAACAGGGTTGGGAAAGGAGGAAACCCACCCCCCACCACCACCACCACCTGTAGGGTTTGGCCCCCGCGCCCTGGCCGCGGCCCCGGCTCTTCCGCCGCCGCTGGGCGCGATGCGGGGCGAGGAATTCCCCGAAAGTGGGAGGTTTGGGAGGAAGGTGCTTGTTTTCCTCTTCGGAGCCGGGCGCTGCCGCGGAGCCGTCCTTAAACCTAAGAAAGGAAGCGGGTGACACCAAAGACATCGCAACCCCCACCTCAAAAAATATCCCGACCCCCCCCCCTCCCCTCCCCAGGACGTACATGCTGTCCGATTTCTCGGCGTCCCACTCCCGCCGCCACTGCCCGGTGGGTTTGCGGTGCCGTGCCAAACGTTCCTGATCGATCTGCTCCCGTTCTTTCTTCCAGCGGACGTATTCGGCTCGCTCCCGACCCGTCATGGACAGAGTCATATCCAGCAGCCCCCCACTTTTCGGGCTGGAACGACGTCCCTGCGGCAAAACACATCTCAAGCGCCGTCCCACCCCGGGACCCCCCCCCAAAAACACCAAAGGGGACCCACCGGGGTACGTAGGGGGCCCTGCCAGGTTTTTTCACGCTCCATCCCGGCCTTGACCTTGTCGAAATCAGCTCCCCCCCAATTTCGGACGTGGCGGCGGCTTCCCTCCTTGCGATCGGCGTCCTGGAAGGGGCCGCTGCGCCGTGGGTCGTCCAAAAAGTTCCGCACCGGGTTTTTTTCATGAAGCCCATCCTAAATCAGGAGTGGGGAAGGAAAGGAAAAAAAAAAAAAAAAAAAAAAAGGACGTTATCACCTTTTTTGAGGGGGGACACAAACAACCGACCCCCCTTCCCCTCCTCACCCGCTGGTTCCTCTCGTACTCCGCAATTTTCTCCATCTCCTCGTTCATCTTTTCAATATTCTGCCGCCGTCGCTCTTCCCACTCCTACGGCGGAGAAACCAGTTATTTAGGAGCAGGTAGCACCCCCAAAACCAGCTGGTGACCCCCCCACCCTGCACCCCATACCCCAAGGGGTGGGGGGTGAATATAAACACCCCCCCACCCCCACAAAAAAAAACCCAAACACACACCCACCTTGGATTTTCGGTCAGGAGCAGCGTCGCCCCCCATCACCGAACCGGCCGCCCCCCGGCCCCGTGGACGCCGGCCCCGACCCCCCGGGGCCACCCCGTCACCCCCCGTCCCTTCCCAAAACGGGGTTTGGGGGTGTCCCCCCCCCAGGGACCGGCTGGAAAGACGCGAGCCAGCACGGCCGGAGCCGCGGGGAGCTGCGCCGCGCCCGGGTTTTGGGGTGCCTGTTGGTTTTTTGTCCTTGGCCGTTCGCTTCTCCTAGAGAAAAAAAAAAATACAGGGGGGGGGGAAATTTAGGAAAATTCACAGCGAACCCCCACTTTGCCCTGAACCCCAACTCACCCCGGGGGAGAGCATGACCTGGACAGTGACGGAAAGATCTTTGTCCACCCATCTCCTCTCGGGCTCGGCGTCGGGGGGCCGTGCCCGGCGCAGAGCCGTGACGGCGATCCCTTCCTGCTCCGCTTTCTTCCGATCCTCCTCGATCTCCTGGCGCCGGGATGGGGGGGGGTGAGCAGGATAAACCCCCCCACCCCCCTGTTCGGCTCCGGGTGGATTTTGGGGAGCGGAGGGGAGGATAACACCCCCCACACACACACACACCTTCCTGTGACCCCGTATTATGTTAAACCCCGTCCTGCGTGGGGGTTAAGCCGCGGCGGGCGGAGGATCAGGGAAAGGGGGGGGGGGGGGGGGGAGCACCTGATAACGTTTGATAAGAGCTTCGTTCTTCTTGCGCAGCGCCTCGATGCGTTTGTCCAGCTCCGCGTCCTTCTCCTCTTTCGATCTCAGGTCCAGCGCGGCCGACTGCGGGGGGGGGGGGGAGGGGGGGGGGAAGAAGCTGCCTGGAGCCCCGGGCCTGGGCACGGAGCCCGTCCCCCCCCCCCAAAGCCCCGGTGTACCCCCCGCAAAGCCCCTGGGGCACCGGAAAGACCCAGCAGCTCCCCCCAGGGAGGCCCCGCCGCTCCCCCCGCCAAGCTCCCGCAGCCCCGGTAAAGCCCCGTCACTCCCCGTGGTGCCCTGGTGAGGCCCCCCCCCCCCCCCCCCCATTCCCCCTAGAGCCCCACTGCCCCAACCCGGAGCCCCGGTGAGGCCCCCGGAGCCCCATCAAGGCCCCCGGTAAGGCCCCACCGCTCCCCGCGGTGTCCCGGTAAGGCCCCGGAGCTTCAGCCCGGTGCCCCGGTAAGGCTCCACCATTCGCCCGATCCCCCGAAAAGCCCCCCCGCTCCCCCGGTAAAGCCCCAGATCCCCAGCCCGGAGCCCCGGTAAGGCCCCGCCGCTCCCCCCGGAGCCCCGGTAAGGCCCCGCCGCTCCCCCCGGAGCCCCGGTAAGGCCCCGCCGCTCCCCCCGGAGCCCCGGTAAGGCCCCGCCGCTCCCCCCGGAGCCCCGGTAAGGCCCCGCCGCTCCCCCCGGGAGCCCCGGTAAGGCCCGCGGAGCCCCGGCCCAGTCCCACGCAAAGCCCCGCCGCTCCCCCGGGAGCCCCGGTAACACCCCAGAGCCCCAGCCCAGAACGCTGGGAAGGCCCCGCCGCTCCCCGCGATGCCCAGGTAAGGCCCCGGAGCTCCGGGCCCGGCTCCCGCAAAGCCCCGCCGCCCCAGCCCGTCCCCCCGGAGCGGAGGGCCCCGGGCCCCGGGCCCCACCATGGCGGCGGCGGCGGCGGCGGGGCCTCACACGGAGCCGCCGCCTCCCCCGGGGACCGGCCGCTCCCGCCCACCCGCGCGTCACAGCCGCTTCCGTTGCGGGAGTGGGCGGGGCCTTAAAACGGCGACGGCGGAGCGCGGAGTGGGGCCCACCGTGGGGCTGGCCCCTCTGTTCCCCCCCCCCCCCGCGACGTCTGTCCCCTGCCCTGGCTGGGGTCCCACGGCCACCCGTGTTCCCCTGTCCTCGTGTCAGGGGCCGCACATCCCCGTGTCCCCACGGCCTCATGTCCCCGTCACCCGTGTCCCCCTGTCCCTATGTCGGTGTCCGTCCCCCGCCCTGTCCCCCCCGCCCCCCGTGTCCCCCGTGTCCCCCATGTCCCCGTGTCCCACCATCCACGTGTCCCGCTGTCCCCCGTGTCCCCGTCAGTGTCCCCCCCACGTGTCCCCGTCAGTGTCCCCTCGTCCCCGCGCCCCTCCGTGTCCCGTGTCCACTGTGTCCACCGTGCCCCCGTGTCCCCCGTGCCCCCCCTTCCCCCGTGCCCCCCTGTCCCCCGTGTCCCCCTGTCCCCCGTGTCTCCCTTTCCCCCGTGCCCCCCTGTCCCCCGTGTCTCCCTTTCCCCCGTGTCCCGTGTCCTCCTGTGTCCCCCGTGTCCCCCGAGTCCCCCGTCAGTGTCCTCCCCACGTGCCCCGCGTCCCCGTGTCCCCCTGTCGGTGTCCCCCCCCCTCACGTCCCCCGTGTCAGTGTCGCCCCCCCACGTCCCCCGTGTCCCCCCGTGTCGGCGCTCCCCTTCGCGCTCCCCACTCCCCCCGAGGTGGGCGTGTCTCCCCGCCCCTCCCCGCCCGCAGGGGGCGGGGCCGGAGGCGCGGCCTGGGCGGGGCTCCCCTCGCCCCACCCCCCGGCTGTCTCCATGGCAGCTGCGGCTCTGACCGCGGCGGCGCGCTCTGATTGGCTGGGCCGGGCCGGGCGCGCGGCGCCGGGGGCGGGGCCGGGGCTCGGCCCGGAGCCGGGACCTATAGCGGGGCCTATTGCCGGACCTATAGCGATGCCGATAGCCCTCACCTATAGCCAGGGCCTGTAGATGAACCCACAGCAGGGACCTATGGCGGGACCTATAGCCATAGCGGTGAGTGTACCTACAGCAGCACGTATGGATGGACCCAGAGAGACATCTATAGCCAGACCTATAGCTGTACTCATAGTGGTACCTATGGCGGTGTCTATACCGATACCCATAGCCATTACCTACAGCTGAACGCATAGGGGTGCCTATAGCACTGCCTATAGCGGTACCTATAGTTGCACGCATAGCTGGTACCTATAGGTGTACCTACAGATGCACCTATAGCTAGTACCTATAGCTGTACCCACAGCTGGTACCTATAGATGTACCCACAGCAGGAACCTGTAAGTGTATTTATACATGCACTTATAGCCAGTACCTATAGCCGTACCCACAGCTGGGACCTATAGCCAGAACCCATAACCAATACCAATAGCTGGCACCTATAGACGTGCCTATAGCCACATCCATAGCTGGGACCCAAGGCTGCTACCTATAGCTGTGCCCAGAGCTGGGACCTATAGCCAGGACCTATAGCAGTACCCATGGAGATGCACCCACAGCTGACACCTATAGCTGTACCTATAGCCAGTACCCATGGCTGGAACCCACAGCTGGTACCTAGAGCTGTACATATAGCTGGTACCCATAGCTGGATCCCATAGCAAGTACCTATGGCTGGTATCTATAGATGCACCCATAGCTGAGACCTACAGCCATACCCATAGCCAGGACCTATAGCCAGTACCCGTGGCTGTCACCCATAGCTGGTACCTATGGCCGGTACCTATAGCGGTACCTACAGCTGCACCCGTAGCCAGTACGTATGGCTGTCCCCCATAGCCGTCCCCTATAGCCATCCCTATAACCATACCTATAGCCATCCCCTATAGCTGACCCCTATAGCCACCCCCATAGCTGTTGCCATAGCTGTCCCCATAGCTGTGCCCTATGGCCGTCCCTATACCTGTCCCTACAGCTGTACCTATAGCTGTCCCTATGCCCATCCTCTATAGCCGTCCCTATAGCCGTTCCCCATTGCTGTCCCTATAGCCATACCCATAGCGGCCCCTCATCACTGTCCCTATAGCTATACCTACAGCTGTCTCCTATAGCTGTCCCCATAACCATCCCCTATAGCTGTCCCCCATTACTGTCCCTACACACATCCCCTATAGCTGTCCCCATACCCACCCCTATAGCCATCCCCATACCCACCCCTATAGCCGTCCCCTATAGCCGTCCCCATACCCATCCCCTATATCCACCCCTATAGCCGTCCCCATACCCACCCCTATAGCCGTCCCCATACCCACCCCTATACCCATCCCCTATAGCCGTCCCCATACCCGTCCCCATACCCACCCCTATACCCACCCCCTATACCCATCCCCTATACCCACCCCTATAGCCGTCCCCCATACCCACCCCCATACCCACCCCCTATACCCATCCCCTATATCCACCCCTATACCCACCCCTATAGCCGTCCCCATACCCATCCCCTATACCCACCCCTATAGCCATCCCCATACCCACCCCTATAGCCGTCCCCATACCCATCCCCTATACCCATCCCCTATACCCACCCCCATACCCATCCCCTATAGCCATCCCCTATAGCTGTCCCCATACCCACCCCTATAGCCGTCCCCATACCCATCCCCTATACCCACCCCTATAGCCGTCCCCATACCCACCCCTATACCCATCCCCTATAGCCGTCCCCATACCCATCCCCTATACCCACCCCTATAGCTGTCCCCATACCCATCCCCTATAGCCGCCCCCCATACCCACCCCCATACCCACCCCTATACCCGTCCCCATACCCATCCCCTATACCCACCCCCATACCCATCCCCTATACCCGTCCCCTATAGCTGTCCCCATACCCGCCCCTATAGCCGCCCCCCATACCCACCCCCATACCCATCCCCTATAGCCGCCCCCTCGGCCCCGCCGGTTCCCGCACGCTCGCGCGCTCCGCTGGAGACAGCGCCGCCGCGGCCGCTGATTGGCGGAGGCGGAGGCGGCTCCGTCCAATGGCAGCGCGGCGGCGGCAGCGCGCGGGCAAGACCGGGGCGGAGGTGGGGGGGGGGAACCCGGCGGGGGGGGGGGGCGGAGCCACGGGTCACCGGGGGGGGAGGGGGGCAGAGTTCAAGGGTCACAAGTCAGGGCGGCCACAGCCCCCCCCCCCCCCCCCAAAAAAAAAAAAAAGTTTGGGGGTCCCCCGGTTTGTGGGGGGGCGGGGCGGCCCCTGGTTGGCCCCTTCCCGCTGTTACCGGGGCGGCGGCGGCGCCGAGACCTTCCCCTGGAAACGGCGGCGGCGGCTGAGTGGCTGCTGCCCGCCCCGCCCGTGGGGAGGGGGGCACGCGTGGGTCCCCCCCTAACCCCCCACCCCCCCCCCCACCCGCGGGGGGGATCCCCGACCGCCGCCGCACAAGCCCGAACTTGTCCGGGGCGGGGCGGGGCGGGGCGGGGGCGCTGACGTCACGGTGGGCGGGGCCCTGCCCGGAGCGGGGAGCGCGGCGCGCGCTGCCAGACCGAGCCGGTGCCGGCGCCGATCGCAGCGGTTCATGCGGCTGCAGTGAGTGGGGGGGGGGGGGGACACCCACGCGTGACGGGACACGGCGTGGGGAGAGGAGGGAGGGAGGGAAAGGAGAGGGTTAAGGGGAGAAAAGAGGCGGTGAGGAGGAGGGGGGTGGTTGGCGCGGTCGTGGACCCCCCACTCGTAGAGTGTGTGGCGTGGGAGCGGGGAGTCACGCGGCGTGGGAGGAGGGCGCGAGGTGAGGAGCCCGGGGGGGGGGGGGGGGTTAACTCGCTGTGGGTACGAGCGGAGAGCGACCAGCGTGGGGGTGGAGGGGGGCACCCGCTGTGGAGGGCTCCGTGGGGTGTCCGGCGTGGGAAACACGGAGTGTGGGGATGTGTGTGTGTGGGGGGGGGGGGTGCTAAAGTGGGGAGGGGGGAGGGGGGTCCAGGCACAGCCCCCCCCACCCCCGTCGGGTGCCCTGCGTGGATAGGAGGAGGAAGAAGAGTGGAAGGTGGTGTGTGTGGTGGGAGGGGGAACGGGGGTCCCGGCGCGGGTGCCACGCGTGTCCGTGGGGCTGGGCGGCGTGGCGGGTCGCTGCCCGGTTTGTTTACAAACACCGCCCGCTCCCCAGGGCGCCCCCTGGCGGGCGCGGGAAGCACCGCGAAGTGGGGGGGGGGGAGCAAAAGAAGGGGGGGGGAGTGTCCTGCGATGCGTGGGTCCCACGCTGACACCCCACCCGCGTGTCCGTCCGTGTTCCCCCCCCCCACGCAGAGCCCCCCGGGCGCGATGGCCAGACCGCTGCGGGAAGGGAGCCTCGGCGAGCCTGCAGCCCCCCTGCCTGCACATCCTGCCTGCGGGGGTGGGGGGGGGGGGGCCGCTGGTCCTGCGTGGGGACCCCCCCCCCCCACCCGCACCCCACCGCCACCCCCGCTTGAGCTGCGCTTGCCCCGGGGCCGCTCCCCCCACCCCCCACTTCAGCCTCTATCGCTGCGGGACACGGGGGCCCCCCGCCGCCACCCCCCACGGTGAGTGTGTGTGACCCCATCCATCCCCACTCCCACTCGTGCTTTTTTTTGAGGGGGGGGACACCCCCTAAAAGTGTGAATTATTCTGGGCTTCCCTGTTGCTAAGGTGCAAGCAGAGCCCTGCCTGCTCCTGTTGGGGGGGGGGGGGAGGGGGAAAGCTTGACCTCCCCCCCCCCCCCCCCCCCCACTCCAGGCGAGTTTCACCCCACGGAGGACGGGGACCACGAGGGACCCCCCCAAAGTGGGGGGAGCCGGGGGGGGCCTGTCCCCAACGGTCACCTTCCGGGGGGGGCCCCCGGCCCGGAGCAGGAGCTGGGCGCCCGCTTGCGCCGCTTGGGCGACGCCTTCCAGCAGACCTACGAGCAGCAGGTAAAATGGAGGGGGGACATGACACCCCAAAAATCAGCGGGGGGGGCAACGGGACTCCCCAAAATCCAGCACCCCCCCCTCCCCATTCCTGGCATTATCCCCCCCCCCCCGGGTTGGTTTTGCTGGCAGTGGGGAAGCAAAGGTTGAAGCGTTATTTTGGAGGGGGTGTTATTTTGAGGGGGAGGGGGGCTGTTATGGGGGGGGGGGGGGCAGTGGGGTGCATCCCCAAATTGTGTAACGCCCCCCCCCCCCCAAAAAAAAAACCACCAAACAATATGTAATTAAAAAAAAAAAAACACCCGGCGGCTTGTTTGCACGCGCGCGTGCGAGCCAGCCGCTGACTCACAACCTATAAATAGCAGCGGGTCTGTAAGGCTGGGAGCCAGCGGCGGCGCGAGGGCGGGGGGGGGACACCCCTAAAAAAGAAACCCAAAACAACCCCCCCCCCCCCTTCTCTTAATTACCCCCCCCCCTCGCTAATATACCGCTCCCCCCCCCCCCCCAGCAGCAGCGGGGCGGCGTCGCCGTGGTTTGGGGTCACCTCTACCGCCTGGTCTCGCAGTTGCTGGGAGCCGTCTACAACCTGCAGGCAGCTGCCTTGCCCGCGCGGGAAGGCAACTAGCCCCACCCCACTCGTGACCCCTCCCCACGCACCCCCCACACACACACCTTTATACACCCCCCAAACCCCCCCCCCCCTCTCTGCACACGCCACAGTGGGGGGGGGTTCCCTGTGCCCCCTCAAACCTGCCCAGGAGCGTCATTGCTGCACACACACACCACCCCCCCCCTCCAATTTCTATTTATTTAATTTATTGTTGGGGTTATTTTGGGGGGGGGGGGGGGGGGAGGGGGTGGGGAGGAGGGGCGGCATGGGGAGCCCACGGAAGGCAGGGGCACCCCCACGCCCCCCCCACAACGGTGCTCCTGTGGTCACAGCTCCCCCCCCACTCAGGTTTCCCCCGGGGGGGGGGGAGAGGGTGCACGTGGCCGTAGTGCTGTGTATATATTGTATGTTGGAGCTGTATATAGGGGAGGGGGGGGCTGTACATTTTATATAGGGGAGGGGGTGGGCTGTACATTATATATAGGGGAGGCAATGTATATAGGGGGCGGGGGGGCTGTATATAGGGGGAGACAGCAGTTGTATATGATCGGTTACTTTTTTTGTACGTTTCTTTTCAATAAAATGAATTGAAGGAGAGAGGCGTGCAGTGGCGCTGTAGGGTTTGGGGGGGGCTGTAGGGTTTGGGGGGGGGCTGTAGGGTTTGGGGCTACAGCATTTGGGAATTCATATGGGTTGAAGTGGGCCATGAGGTTTAGGGGTGCAATGAGGTTTGGGTCCATAAGGTTTGGGGTGCAGTGTTGGGGCGTCCAGGTTTAGGGATCCATAGGGTTTGGGGGGGGCATGAGATTTAGGGATGCAGTGTTTGGGGGTACAGTGTTTGAGGGTCCACTGGGTTTGGGGGGGTCTACAGGGTTTGGGGGTGCAGTGTTTAGGGTCCATAGGGTTTGGGAATCCATAGGGGTTGGGGGGTCTGGGAGGTTTAGGGGTGCAGTGTGAGAGTCTATAGAGTTTGGGGTCCATGAGGTTTAGGGGTGCACTGTTTGGGGTCCATATGGTTTGGGGCTATACTGTTGGGGAATCCATAGGGTCTGGGGGGGTCCAGGAGGTTGAGGGGTGCAGTGTTTAGGGGGTCCGTAGGGTTTGGGGGGGGGGGGGGGGTCCAGGAGGTTTGGGGTCCATAGGATTTAGGAATCCATAGGGTCTGGGGGTCCATGAGGTTGAGTGGTTCAGTGTTTGGGGTGATCCAGGAGGTTTAAGGGGTTCATGAGGTTTAGGGGTACAGTGTTGAGCATCTATAGGGATTGGGGGATCCAGGAGGTTGAGTGGGGGCAGTGTTTGGGGATCCATAGGGTTTAGGGGGGCTCAATGAGGTTTGGGGGTGCAGTGTTTGGGGGTCTGTGGGGTTTGAGTGGGTCCCTGAGGTTTGGGGGTCCCCAGGGTTTGGGGATGCAATATTTGGGGTTCACAACTTTTGGGAGTCCAGGGGGTGGGAGGTCCACAAGATTTGGGGGTCCCAGGTCCACGGGTTGGGGGGTGCAGGGTTTTGGGGGGAGTGGGGGACGACACCCAGTTCAGCTCAGCTCCAGCCCCCAAATAAACCAACTTTTTAGAAATAAGATTTTATTAACCCAAAAAACCAACCCCCCTCTACTGAACCAAGGGGTGCCGGCTGCACCCCACATTTAGCCCGTTACCGCTGGGCCCAAAGTGGGGGGGCTCGACCCCCCCAAACCCCCACCCCGAGCTCAGCTGGGGCCCAGACACTCCACGATCCCGTTGCCTTTGATGCCATCGAAGAAGAAGAAGTTGTTGTGGGGGGGATCCCGCTGGGACAGGGCCTGGGGAGGGGGAGGAACACGGCGGGGTTTTGGGGAGCAGAGGCCCCCCCAAAAGATAAATTAAAAAAAAAAAAAAAAAAAAACAAGAGAAAAACAGCCATTACCTTGACCACCTCCTGGCCCAGGACGCCTCCGACCACAGCGCAGACGGGAGCCATTTCGGAGAAGCAGTAGCTGGAAGGAAAAAAAAAAAAATAATAAAAATTTAACAGCAGAGCCCAGAAATATGCCAATCCGCCCCCCAAAAAATGCTTCTGGGTCTCCTCAAAATGCTTGAGCTTTCCCTCATTTTGCGGGGGACCCCCTTGCTAAAAATAATCCCCTCAAAATGCTGGTGTGTCGTGTCCCCCCCCCCCCGCTGCGGTGGCAACATTCCCACCATTCCCGGCGGGCAGCGTGCGGCGACACGCCGGCGGGGCTGGGGGTTCCCGGGGTTCCGTGTCACCGTGGGGACACGGGGGACAGGGACAGGGTGTGGGGAGGGGGGTGTCTACCCCAGCGCCGTCCCAAGGTCCTGGGATTTCTCCGGATCCCAGCCCGGCCTTGGATCGTTAATCCCTGGTGACACGGAGCAAGGACGCGCGGCGGCCGCGGTGATATTCAGGGTGTGGGGCCCTCCCGGAGCTTCTCCCAGCGACCTCATAATTACGGCTAACGAGGTTCCCGGGGAGGCGCTTTCCCCACCACGCACCTAACGAATTCATCCGGCAGCAGGTCGGCGCCGACCCCCAGCGCTTCCAGGACATCGTGGCGGATTTGGAGGAGCAGCTTTGAATCCTCGCTGTAATTTTGGGGTGAAGGATCCCGGCCGTTATCTGTCCGAAACTTTAACAGCACTGGGGGGGGGGGGGGGAAGGAGGGAAAAAAAAAAAAAAAAAAAAAGTCACCCCAAGATGCTGCTGGCCATCTGGCCATTTGGGAAAAGCCGAGGGGAGCGCAGGGGGGAAAGCGCCGCTGCCCGTGGGGATTTACCTTGGAGGAGGAAATAATCCGGCGTGGTGCGTCTGAGCGCTGCCCTCGCCTTTTCCCCGCTCCAGTCGACGGCCAGCGCCTCCTTCAGCTGGCAAAAAAGCACCCGCTGCGAGGGGGGAGAAGGTGGTGATGGGTGAGGGGATCCCCCCCCCCCCAAAAAATAACCCAACAGGGATCCCCCCCGGCCCCGTCTGGTGCTGTTTGAGGTACTAAGGGAGCAGGGACACCAAGGCAGAGCTTAAGCCGGGCTTTAACTGCGCCTAAACTCCAAAATCGGTGCAAAATCCAGCTGAGAACGTCGGAAATATTAAACGAAAGTTTGAACCTCTCCCCGCTGGGAAGCTCCTGCAGGGATACAGGGGAAAGTTTGGCACAACCCCCGGCACGCCGGGCTCCGGCATCTCTGAAACGGGACCTGGAGGAATTTGCCGTATCCCAACCCGTCGCGCTCGGAATCGCTAAAGGGGCAGGACGGGCGACAGCTGGTTGCGTCGGCGGCCGGGGAATATTCCCAGACTTTCCGAGGGGAAGCTGCACCCTCCGAGTGATGAGGCGGGGGGGGCAAAAGGGACACAAAAGGGTGTTAATCTGCTGGCTCAGCTCGCATTCCCCTCGTAGCAGCGGGATCAAGTCGAGGGGATTTCCACTCCTCCGTTAAATTTCCAGCTGGGAGACCAAAACAATGCCCAGGCCGGAGGCATTTAAATGTGAAAAGGTTTTGCTCTGGAGCAGATTTCATGTCGTGTCCACCCTCCCCAAGACATAAAAACCCTTCCCACCCCCCCTGCCCCGGCCCAGCTCTCAGCTGACAGCAGCAACAATGCGGCTTTTATGGCCTCGCTGACAGACAAAAAGCTGGAGCCCCCCCCCTCCCAGTTAAAGCTTTTAGAAACTCCCCTTCCCCCATCAAAACCAGTAGAACAGTGGTTTATACCGGTGGAAATTAAAACAGCAGTGAAATGGAAGCACCTAGTTTTGGCGAGGGGGGAGGATCCAGCCAAAAACTCACCCAGGAAGCCGGTAGAAGCCGTCTTGAAAAACTAAAAACACAGCGGGGCTGCCCAGAAACCCCTCCCCGGCCAAACCAACACGCGCTTTGGGTCTCAGAGATCTCTGTGGGGTTTTTTTATCCCCCTCCTCCTCACCTTTTTCACCATAGTGGTCTCCGATGAGTCGAGTTTGGCTTTTTTGGTGTCCGGCCCGTCTTCAACACCCGGGCTGACTTTGGCGACTTTGGTTTTCTCTCTATGGAGGAAAAATTAAAAAACAAACAAACACAAAAAAAAAACGCTTTGAGAAACCACACTGGCTCAGCAGCAAACAGCCTTTAATGACTCTTAAAGAATTAAAATCTCCCCAAAACCTCCCCCGCTGCCCCGCTGCGAGTCACTCTCACCCCCCGCCCCGACTCACTCCACAAACTCGTGTTCCCCGAGGTCGGCAAACATGTAGCCATGGTAGCCGAAAACGTCGCCAGTGAAAAACTTGACGCTGTTCTTGTGGCAAATCTGGTCGATCTTCACCATCACGTCACGGGAACAGCAGGTCAGGCAGACCTGGAGGCAGGAATGTAACCGTTTAACCCCCTTCTTCCCCTTCATCATGGGGTGTGAAATCATCCCGGCCTTCCTGGGGAAGGTTCCAGACAGATTTGCTGGTTTATTCCCAGCGGGGCGCAATGCTCAGGGTAATTAGCAATTTCCCCCTCCCGTTCACACAAGCTAACTCCAGCAGCCTTCTCTCCGGGGATAATTAGGAGGTTAGGGGACACGGCATCCCGTTTCCGGATAATTTCAGTGGAAACTGGGGGACAAAGCTAAATACAGGTATTTTTAAAACTCAGCGCCTGTCTATCCCTATCGATAAGAGAGCAATTAGTGAGGAGAGTTAGTAATTAGGCAGGAAGCCCCTTCTCCTCCGACCTTTCGCTCCCCCCGCCGCACGTACTGCGTCGAACTGGGTGAAAAACTCTTCGGGTTTGCTCTCCACGCTCTCGGGGTCGGCTTTGACGTCCACCATGGGATTGAGGTTCTGCGCCCGCTCCAGCGAGGCTTCAGCTCTGTTGCGGCCCAAGGAACCCACGGGGATGAGGAACTGAGCTCGTGTGTCCTCTTGGGAAACCTGAAATGGGAGAAAACGGAGGGGTGAGTCTTCCCATGGACTCGGGCAGGGTGGGAAACCCCCTCCCGGGGAGAATTACGGCAAGCGCTGCCACCCTTTCCGCTGGAAAAATCGCGAGATAATCAGAGCGGGGGAAAAAAAAAAAATTAAATCTCTGGTTATTTTCTGCTATTCTTCAATTCCCCCACTGCTTCGTAGCTCACTTCTCCCCGCTCCCGAGCTCGCAGCTCCCTCTTGCGCCCGCGGAGACGCCGCGCTGTGACCTCGAGGCCACGGGTTGTCAGCCGGCACCGGCTGCCGCAGGGCATGAAGCTCCGGATCGGGGATGAAAACTCACCGCGGAGCCTGGTTAGGGGGTTCCGGGGTCCCCGAGAGTCGTGGCAGGAGCTCTGAGCCCTACGTTTGCTTCACACATCTGCCAGCCCCGGGTAAATGGGAAGGGGCTGTCCCAATGGGGAAAGATGGGTGGAGAGCTGCCAACGCCAAAGCCACGCGTCCCCAAAAATAAGCTGGCTTCTCCGAGCGGGGTGCAGCACCCAAAGATGTCCAGAAAGGGACGGGGTTCAACCCCTCAGCTCGAGGTGAGCACAGCCTGGCATTTAGCTGCCACGCCAGCGACCAACAGCGCAAACCCTGCGTGCTCCAAAGTGGAATAATTCCACCCCCCGAGCAGAATATTGATCCCAAAAAGCAGCGAGTGAGTCCTTCGGCGTTAGCACCGTAGCGGGAGGGTTTGGGAGCAGTGACGCTCCTCACCTGCTGATGGTCCAGCATGGTCAAGCCTTTGACTCCTGCCAAGATGAGATTCTTTGCTACTTCTGCTCCGAGACCCTTCATCCCCACCAGCAGCACCCGGGAAGCGCGTAACCTGTGGCAGAAACATTCGGTCAGCGTTAACAGCTCGGGGCAGAGGGGAAGCGGCGCTCGGAGGGGAAACACAGCGGGTAAATAAGGGTGGAAAAGAAAGCTGCACTCCTCAGCACCCCTGCCTGCGGAAAAACAGGTTTAATGCAGTTTGGAAGCAAAGCGAGAAACACACAGGTTGTCAGGAGTGGGTAATTTGGGCAAAATTACAGAAAAACAAACAAAAAAAAAATTGCTTTGGAAGAGGGAATAACACCAGAGTTTTGCACTGCTTTTCAGAAAACGGGGTCAGGGGGTTGCGGGTGCATTACAACACACACTTCGGGGCTCCTAACAGCCCCCCAAAAAAGAGCTGAGGGCTGCAGCTGCACCAGGATGTGGATAAATTATAGTTAACGGGAAATTAATACACTCTGGTGTGTATTTAATCCAGCACAAAACTGTGCAAGCAAGTTTTAAATCTTCCAAATAACTGACCAATGTGTTTTCCTTGCCTTTTATCATTTAAATATTCCCCTCCCCGCCTTGGAAGTCTGTTATTGATTAGTGTCTGTCTGTTTTCTGACGAAATCAAGTTTACTCAGCACCGAGCCATAATCCAGGCTGTTGAACAGAGCGACTCCTGCTTTTTTGCCCTATTTTCACGCTCGTTTTTATCTGCGTCCAGCAACATCATTATGTTCATCGTCACATTTTGGGGTTGTTCCACTTTCTCCCAAACCAACCCCATCGCTGCTTCCCAGGGAACACCTAAGAATTTGGAAACGAGCAGAAATCAGGGCAGGTTGCAGAAAAGATTCACAAAACTATAACTTGAAAGCTGAAAAAAAAAAAGCCCTTCTAGAGAAAACAGGGGCTGAGCAAGAGGGTTTCTAGCTGGGAAAGACCCAGGAACTAGCGGGTAGGGGCAGACGCTTTGCAATTCCAGCTGGGAATGAATCAGAAGCAGTTTCTCTTCTTTATTTTTTCCCCATCTTCAACTCCAGGAAGCGCAAATTTCACTCAAATGTGCACTACAGAGGATTTGGCTAAGCCAGAGTTTCGCAGGAGGTCGAGCAGAAACCCCCACAGACCCCCCCCCAAGCCACTATAGACCCTATATCCTTATATACCCACCGCTAACCCCTCTCTGAAGCCCCTACAAAGCTCCTGAGGACCCCCTGCCAGTGGCTACAGTCACCACAGAAGCTCCTACATGGTTCTCCCGCACCCTGTAGGGTCCCCAGAGGCCTCCACAAGTTCCTACAGGGACCCCATAAGCCCCTCCAAGGCCCCTCCAGCCTCCCCTACAAGCTTCTATAGGGACCCCTCACATTACAGGCCCCCCCCCAAGCCCCTCCAGGCCTCTACAGCCCCACCCACAAGCCCTCTAAAGCCCCCCCCACAACCTCCCTTCACATTGCAGGTCCCTATAGGCCCTGCCAAAAGCTCCTATACACCCCCCCAACGCCCTCCTCAGATTGCAAGGTCCCTACAAGGCTCTTACAAGCTCCTGCAAGGCCCCCATAAACTCCTCCAAGGCCCTATAGGGCCTCCACAAGCTTCTACAGGGTCCCCCATACGCTCCTCCAACACTCCTTCACACTGTATGGCCCTTCCAGGTCCCTCCAGAGCCCCCCCCAAGCTCCTCCAAGGCCTTCCTCACATTTCAGTACCTCTCCAGGGCCCTATGGGGCCCCCCACAAGCTCCTCCAAGGCCCCCCTCATATTGCAGGGCCCCCCACAAGCTCCTACACAGTCCCTCACAGGCCGCAGAGCCCCCAGAAGCCCCACCCGGCCCCTCTAGCCCCCCCTCCGAGCTTCTCCAAGCCCCCCCCTCGACTCTGTAGGGCTCCCACAAGCTCCTACAGGGTCCCTCACCGGCTCCGGGGTCCCTCCAAGCTCCTCCAAGCCCCCCACACACACACATTGCAGGGCCCCTGCAGACCCCCACAGGGGCCCCCTAGAAGCCCCTCCAAGGCCCTTCTCATACTGCAGGGCCCCTCCAACACCCTCCAGGTCGCCCTACAAGCTCCTACAGGGCCCTTCACAGGCGCTGGGGTCCCTCCAAGCCCCCGCCTCAGATTGAAGGGCCCCCCCCCCCACAACCACCCCCCTCACATTAAAAGGCGCCTGCAGACCCTTACAGGGCCGCCTAGAAGCCCCTTCTCATACTGCAGGGCCCCTCCAGGCCCCCCCCACAAGCTCCTACAGGGTCCTTCACAGGCCGCAGGGCTCCCAGAGGCTCTCCCGGGCTCCCTCCACGGGACTCCCCTCCGGCTTCCCCCGTAAGCTCCAGTCCCACTGACCGCTTCTGGGCTTCGAGCCCCCACAGCCGGATCTGCCGGTCATACTGTGCCGCCTCCTCCTCGCTGATGCCGCCGGGGCCGCCCTCCTCCTTCTCCACCATCCCGCCGCCGCCTCACGGCCGGGGGGGGGGCAGCGCCCCCTGGCGGCCCGCGCAAACACCCTGCACCGCTCCACGTCCACCGGGGGGGGGGAGGGGCGTGGGGTGTGATCCAACCCCACACACAACCCCCCCCCCCCCGGCCCGAAACGACCCCACGGGAGAAACGCCTCGCGCGGGCTCGCCGCGCCCTTTCACCGCCGCATTCCGAGCCGCACAGCCTGGGGACCTCCCCGGTGAGCGCTTAGTTGCGCAGCCTCCCCCTCCCTTCCCCGCTCAGGTGGATTCGTCCTCGCCTCACCTCCTCGGCGCTTTTCGGCCTTTCCCGCCATCTCCCGGTTGCCTTCGGCCGCGGCAGCCGAAAGGGGGCGCTCGGCGCTTTCCGCCGCCGCTCGGCTCTTTCCGCCGCCGCTCGGCTCTTTCCGGCCGCCGTGCGGGGCGCTGCCTCGGCGCGGCTGCGTGCCGCCGGCCGCCATTTTGTGTTGCCTGCCCGTGGGAGCGCGGGGCGGGCGGGCGGATAAGCCGGGCCGTGCCGAGCCCACACCCCCCCACCCCCCCACCCCATTTCCAGCGCTGTACAGTGACTGTGCCCCCCACCCCCACCCCCCGTTCGCCCCCACTTGCCCCCCCCCCTTGCCCATGGCCGTGGAGAGCCCGAGTGTCCCCCCCGCCGCCGCCGCTTCCCCCCCCAGCCCGCACTCCACCCCCCCTTCTCCGTCCTGCCACCACCACGACAGCGGCAGCTGCAGCCTCCCCCGGCCGCCGCCGCCGCTCCAACACCACCACGGCCCGGACGAAAGGTCCAGTAACCGCCTCTCCCGAGAGCCTCTCTGTCTGTCTGTGTCTGTCTGTCCGGCTCGCCGGACCAGGTTTGGGGGGGGGGGGTGGGAGACGCGGGGCGACCGGTGGTGGTTCGGGGGGGGGGGGGTGGGGGGGGTTGGGGGGGGAAGCCAGGGCGCAGGCCTAAGGCGGGCGGGGGGGGTAGGCCCGGCTTTGGGGAGGGGGGGACAGCGGGGCCCGGAGGGGGGGACTGCGAGGAGGAGGAGGAGGAGGAGGAGGAAGCGGGGCCAGAGGCAGGGACAGCGGGGGATATTTGGGGAGGGGGCGGGGGGGGGGGGGGTCGTGGGTAGAGCAGGAGGAGGAGGAAGGGGCCGCGGCCTGGGTAGGGCCGGGCCCTGAGGGCAGCGCAGGGCCTGGGGGTACCGGGGGGGGGGTTGATTTTAGACGAGCGAGGCCTAAGAGAGGGGTGGGGGGGCTTCTAGTTGTTGCTGGGGGGCTCCTAGCTGCTTTTTTTTTTTTTGCAAGGGGGGGGGGGGTCCTTAATGAGGTCTTTAATGACGTTATTTCTCCTGGGCAGCGCTGGCCTCATTAACGTCCCCTTTGTCTTTCTGCTGCTTCTTAAAAATATTTTTTGGCTCAAGCAGGGAGCGTAGGTGGGGGCAGGAAGGTAACAAGGTTGGGGGTACGGGGGGGGGGGTCAGTTGGGGCGTGTTGGGGTGCGATAGCCTCCATCACACACACCACCACCCCCCGTAGAGAAAGGCTCACCTCCCAGGTGTTAAAAAGCTTAAAAAAAAATAATATATATATATATCCCCTAGGAACCCCCCTCTTTCTTCTCAGATGTATGTAAAGCACTTTCTTCCCCCTCCCCAACATAACTTTAGCCGTTTCCTTTCTTAGCACTTTTTTTTTTTATTAGTAGAAACCATATAGCCAGAAAGTATCAGCAAAAATAAACAGCTTAAGCATGTATGTCTGGAAAAAAAGATTAAAAAAAAAAAAAAAAGGTTTGCTGCCTTCCCACTCCCCTGGAGGGCAGGTGTGCAGTGCAGAGAGCTGCTTTTACGCATTAGCATGCCTTTGTCTCTGAGGAGGTTTGTTTTCCATGTGATGCAGGGTTGGGTTGGTAAGTAAGCTCTTTTATTGAATAATTAAATTATACCTTTTCCTGCCTTTCCCCCCCCCTCCTCCCCGCCACCAAATAAGTCCCAGGAGCGTCTGCAGGGTACGTTGCGTGTAAGCAGTGAGTTGATACCGTCTGTGTACAAACCAAGCAGAATTCCCCTTTGTAATGACCCATAGAGTTATGCACCCCGCCGATGTGAATGTTTAAAAGACAAAAAAAAAAAAAAAAAAAAAAAAGTCACAAAAGCACACAGTTTACTCCCAAATATGTCTGTTGTGACGTTTCCAGGTGAAGTAGCACTGAGGTGCCTCGGTAAAACTCATACCACTCTGACCCTTGATGCCATCTAGACGTAGGATGTGGATCCATTGCTTTGTCTGCAAAACTCCATCCTCATTCCATTACGTTGACTGTAAACTGGCTGCCCCTGGGTGCGGGTTTGCCTGTAAAGCAGAAAAAGATGTTAAAAAGTTTTGTTAAACAACTCCAAAGTGTGTCAAAAAAAAAAAAAAAGGTGGCAAAGAAAGCACTGTTTCCCAAATGTCATCACACATTTTCCCCCCCATCCCCATGTACAGCCTTATGTTGGATAATTAGAGAAGTCGAAATAGTGACGTACAGTGCAAGCACCCAGTTTGTAACAAACCTCGTTAGCGTCCTCGATTTGCCTTCTCCCTTTCTTTTCCTTTGTCGATCAGGTGCGTTAACGAAAAGCTCAAGTTTGTTCCTCACGCTACTTCACACGGTTCAAGTTTGAAGTAAGAACACCACGCACAGTGTTGGGTATTCCTCCCCCTCCCTGTCCAATTAATTTAGTTTCTTGGGTTCGTTTTTCCTGGAGACCAAAACCACACACTTTTGCCCCTTTTCATCCAGTTTACATTGTTCTCAGGTGGAAAAAAAACCCCAGTGTTTCCTCTAAGCACACCGATACAGTTGTGTGAAATTGTGGTGTTTTGTTTCCCTCTTGTCTTTACTCCCTAAAAAAAAGAAAGAAAAAGGTGTATACATCTGCTTAATCTGTAAAATAATGCAAGCACTTCTTACAGCAAATTAGAGGGCTTTTTGTTAGAGGTTTAATTGCATTCCAGAAAGGGGTTTTCACATAAACCAATAACCAGTGATGTCTTCTATGCCTTTGTGCTGCTGTTTTTAAATGTTTATGATGGGACTCATGGTCCCTGCACCTTCTGTGGCTTAACTCTGCCATGAAATCATAATGGTGGGATTTTTTCGTTTGTTTTTTTCCCCTTTGACCAAAGGTCCAAAGGCTTGAAAATGTTACTGCTCTGGCCAAAATTTTTTAATTCAGAGTGGGGCCTCATATTATTGATTTTTCCCCCGTAATATATTCAAGTAGTAACTTTGTTCTGTTCTTTTACTAAATGTACGTACATGTTAAGCTTTATACTTCCACTCCTGATCCCAGAAAAATCCAAACTGTTTTTTGATTGTCCGCTGCTAACGGCATAAGTGATTTTTTAATCCATATCAGGATGAGTTGGAAAGGACAGATGTGGTAGAAAAGAAAGCAAATAGGCTGCCGGAAAACCTCAGGTTCATTTTCTCCCTTTTGAGGGATGGAAGAATCAGGAATTGTTCGAATGTCAGGAGTTTTCAGGGATTGTACTGCCGGGTTTACAGGAATTGTTGACCAGTTCCGTAAAGCGAGTATTTTTTTTTTTCCTAGAGTTCAATATTAGCAGTAGGAGTCAAAGTTTCATGTTTGGGGCTTTTCTTTGTGCCTTGCTTCCCCCGACCCATTTTTAATTGGGCTTAACCTCTTTCTAGTGCTCACAATCTACTGGAGGTTACCTTTTTGATCATGCAAACGCTCAGGCAGGCGTTTAGCACCGGTACCGTGAGTAGCTCTCTGAGAAATGGGAGCAACTTCTGATAGCAAAGCAAAGCACCCGACAGGAATTTTTTATTTTTTCTTTTTTTTTTTTTTTCCTTTTTTTTTTTTTTTTTTTTTGCAGGGACAGGGTTTTTTTCTAAGGGCGTACTTGTTCGGCTCCTTGGGTCGAGCGAGGCTTTGTTATACCGGGCTAAAGGAAGAGCTGAAGCAAATCCCAGACCCCGGCGTCTTTTTTTTTTTTTTTTTTCTCAGGGCCTGGGACGTATCCCGTTGCTGTGGCATCAGCCGTGCTGTGGCAGCGAGGACGTCAGAGCTCAGCGTTAGGATTTCACTGAAGGATTTGGATAGGAGTGGGAAGGAGCTAACCTGCGAGCAGAGAGGACGTTCAGAATTAGCAGCTGAGTCGAGCACGTGCCCTGAGAAATCTTGACCAAATAGCGCTTAATGTTGCTTAAAAACATGGATCTTAGGGAGGTCAGGAGGAGGGTTTGCCCCGATTACAGCCAGCAGTGGGCTAAAGCCATCTCTCTCCAAGCCTCTTAGAAACTGGGACAACATATATGTCACCTTAATGAAAAAAAAAACAAAAAACCACCCCAAACCCCAACTCTAGAGGAGATAGAAAAAGCTGATCAATTTTAATGACTTCTGCCCCAGCCTGCGCAGTTTGAATGAGGCAGCGTGGCCCCGCTGCCTTCAAAGCGGTGCTGCTTTTATTTCTTGATTGATGTATTTCCCCTGGTTTCCACTTGGAATAAAACGTAAGGCGGCCGCAGTGGCGGGCCAGAGGAGAGCTCAGGCCTTTGGGATTATTCTGGAATAATCAGTGTTTTGGTGAAAGGGCAGAGATCTGGCTGAATAATTCTCTCCGGTGCAGAGCGTGCAGGTGTGGTGCTGGGCTAAGAGACGTTTCCCCCAGCAAGTTGTTGGCAGGGCAGTAAACTTCTGCTGAAGCATTAAATGCGTGATTAATAACCTTTAGCTGGACGTAACGGTCACTCTGAAAAGCCTGGCCTTGTGCTTTCACTAGAAAAAAGTGCAGAGAATGAGCAAAAACTACGTATCTGGCCTAAAAAGAGCTAAAATCTGCTCGAAGCAGCGCGATGTCCCTGCCGTGTTGAACACGGGGAGGGGTCTGGATTTAAATCCTTCTCTGGAGGGCTGGAGAGTTGCTTTCAACTGGGGTGATCCGCTCCCACCAAAAAACCCACTCCCCCTCGAGCTTAGCCGGTTGATTTACAGTTAATGTTCAGTTTTAACTTGGTTTTACCACACTTAAGATTTTAATTTGCCGTCCGATCAGTTCCGCCCCCCGTGGTGCGCGCTCTCAAATGCATCAGATTGTTAAAAATCAACTTTAAACTCTTTGGGTTGCTCAGCTTGAGGCAGAAAGTGTTTATCCTAAAGATATGCACGTCTGTGCGCAGCCGAAGTCCCCGTGAAGCATTTTATTTCAAAATCACTTAAAATTCGAAGCGAACATTATGGTGAAATTAATTTGCACGGATTTGCAATCCGGTAACTTCCCGAGCGTTCGCGCTTCGTTTTTTAAAGGCTTTCTGCTGCATTGCTGCATTGCACGGGGGGAAAAAAAAGAAAAAAAAAAAAAGGCAGTTGTAACCCCCCCCCCCCGCCCTTTCCTGTGTTTTGCATTCCTCAAAGTCAAAGCGAGATCCACCTTTGTACAGAGCCCCCCTCCCCGCTCTCGGCGTCCGGGGGTCCGCGCCGACAAAGCCAGATCACGCACCGGGCGGGCGATTTCACGGTCAGCTGCACCTCTTGTGCAAAAAGCCAACGTACAAAAGAAGGTTTCTTCCAGCAGGTCGGCTGTTAAATCGGGGGGGGGTTATAGGGGTGTCGTATAGAAGTTACTCCGAGGTCCGTGTCTGCCGCACCGATGTGTATAAAGCAGGCGAGAGCACGCGGGGCTCGCTCTTTTCTGAAAATCAGTAAAAAACGCTTGTTTTTCTGCAAATGGGAGCCAAGGGGCTTATTTTTGACGGGGTTTCTTTCAGGTGGAACGAGGAAGGAGCAATAATACCTTGAATTAGGGTTAGGAGAGTATCAATAATATCTTAAATAGGGTTAGGGGAATATCAATAATAGGGTTAGGAGGGTATCGATAATATCTTAAACAGGGTTAGGAGGGTGTCAGTAATATCTTGAATAGGGTTAGAAAAATATCAATAATATCTTGAATAGGGTTAGAAGAATATCAATAATATCTTGAATAGGGTTAGGAGAATATCAATAATATCTTGAATAGGGTTAGAAGAATATCAATAATATCTTAAATAGGGTTAGGAGAATATCAATAATACCTTGAATAGGGTTAGGAGAATATCAGTAATAAATAGGGTTAGGAGGGTGTCAGTAATATCTTGAATAGGGTTAGAAAAATATCAATATCTTGAATAGGGTTAGAAAAATATCAATAATATCTTAAATAGGGTTAGGAGAATATCAATAATACCTTGAATAGGGTTAGAAGAATATCAATAATATGTTCAATAGGGTTAGGGAATATCAGTAATAAATAGGGTTAGGCGGGTATCGATAACATCTTAAACAGGGTTAGGGGGGTGTCGGTAATACCTTACTTCGGGTCAGGGGGGTCTACCGGCTGTAACTGGCCGTAAATCCGCCATCCGGGCCCCTCGCTTGTCACTTCGTTACGCTCATTTCCAAAGTTAACGAAGCCCCAGCTCCACAAAGTGTCACCATTTATCGGCAGACAATATTTTCACTCCTGCGCTGCTCCTCGGTGGCCAGAGTAGCCAAACCCCCCCCCGCCGCGCGGAATTTTCCCGTCACGCTGCCCTTCCCCGGGCGTCCCCCGCGAGGCGCCCAGGCTGGCCGGGTGGCAGGGGGACGACTGGCAAGGGCTTCTGTTTGTCTTCCAGGCGTCGTCATTGCCGTGTTACGTCATTGCCGTGGCGCTGAGGTCACGCACGGCGCGGCAGCCGGCGTGGGTCCTTCCCTGAGGATGCGTGCTGCGCCGGGGACCGTCCCCTATAGATCAGGCGGGCAGGAGCGATAGGAAAGCCCGAGATGAGCGTGGATTTGGGGAAGAATTTTCCCCCAGTCAGTGTTTTCTGCAATACCAGTAGTTGCTTAACAGACATGGCTTCTTCACCGCGTCCCCGCAGCGACTCTCCACGGTGAGCCGTCCCCCGAAAATGCACAACGTTGCTTTCGTTGCTTTCATTTTATTTTTAAATTTTTTTTTTTTTATTTTATTTTTTTTTCCCATCCAGCTTTAGAAGTCGTTCGCTTGCTTTCAAACGTCGCCGGTGGCCGTATTTCAAATGACTCCGTTTCACTGTGTTCGAAGCCCTTAAGGGGACTCAATGCTTCGATAATACTTGCCCAAAAGTTCACAGAGCGCTTTCCCAGCGCTAAATAAGCCCCGCAGTCTCTCTGAGAGGTTGATGGGTCATTTCTGGCCCAAACTTACTCAAATCTGGCAGAACTGGCGCTAGAAACCAGCAGGAGATGCTACTGCCTGTCTTAAGATGTGGTTTGGTGTCTAAGCGTCTGCGTAACTCTGATTTCTCAGACTTTCTTTCTTCAGGAGACGTGTGTGTTGATTAAATAATTAACACGCATCTGCTAAAGGGCTCAGCGATGGTTTTGAGGGTTCAGCCTCGTCCCGTCTCTTGGTGCTTTTCAGATAACCTTTGCAGCGGCCGCAGAATTTGTACGTTTTGGTCTCGGGGAGCCTTTTTGGTCCTCGTTTCTGTAACCGCAGGGAATTTTATAACGTGATTTGTCGACGGGGACGCGGCTCCGGGCGTGTGGTGCTCTCTGAACCTTGGTATCAGACCAGAGCAACTCAAGGCAGGGCAAAAGCGCTCGCGCTAGCGAAGCGAAGGGTAACGTTTGCTCTCGAAAATTGCAGTGAAGGTGCTGGCGACACGCGGCGGGTCCTCTCCGAAGGCAGCGGGGGAGGCGGGGAGCGGCGGCGATCCCCAGCCGGGGAGGGCTCCTGGGAATAGCGACCTGGTTGCGAAGGAAGACGTACGGTGTGAGGGCATTTATCGGGCCCCGGCGGGCTTTTAGCAGCTCATCGTTTCCTCCGGCGCCCGGGGGGAGCTGCCTCCTGGGTGGCTGTGCTCCCTAGTGCCCCGCTGACGAGTTGCAGCAAGCCGGATCCAGAATCCTGGTGGCATTTCTAGTTTAAAATCCATCTATTGATGAATCTGTCCTTCCAGGGAAGGGGCAGAGGCTTTGTCAGGACTTTATTTAAGTGTTTACATACACGGGTGTTGACATTTCTTCCCCTACGCTGGTTTAGCTCCTGTTCTTCTGCCCAGCTTTGAGCAGAGGGTGAGTTTCTCTTGTTCCAAGGTGGAGCTCGCTGAGCACCAGCACCCGAAGGATGCTGCGTGCCCGCCACCGAATCACTCCCACTGCTGCTCGCCTTTAGAACTTGTCCATACACCGAGGAATGCCGCGTCAGGTTTAAGAGCTTCATGAGTAATGCTTAAGCGAGCTTGATTTTGGAGCTAGTCTGTTATTAAAACCGGGCAGGCGCAAACAAAAACAAGAGGGGAGCTTTGCATCGCAGTCGGACGGGGTGACTGGGTCCGAGTGTTTGCGCTCCCCGATGCCGCAGCATCCCCAGGGATTGTTAATGTTTTTAATGTGTTTGGGGGTAATAATTCAGTTTTTCTTGTTGGGGTTTGTTTTGGTTTTGTTTTTTTTTTTTTTTAATGTGAGGTTACCAACGGGTCAGCTCGTTTATGCAGCAGAGCTTTTTCCGAACGCTGTTCATAAGCCCCATTTCAGCCCCCGGGCCTCCCGGGGAGCCACCGCGCGGCAGCAGCTCCTCCTTGCAGCCCAGCTGCCTCCGCGCGGCGCGGCCGCCGTGCCCACCGCACTGCTGAGGAGGAGGAGGCCCAAGAGCCTAAAAAAAAAACCCCAACCAGAGGGATGCGTCTCAAAGATCCCCCCCGCTACGCTCTCCTAAATTGTTGTTTGTGAACCACCGTGACTTACAGAAACAAGCCGACGTTTCTGGTTTTGATTATAGCTTACCTTGGGCGCGAAGGGAGGAGGAGACCCCGCTCTTGTCTTAAATCACACAGCGACAAACTCGGGATCTGTTGGGAGGGAAGGAGAACGCAGGGAGCTGACGGAACTCGTGCCGAATTACACATTTAATCCGTTACGAGGCTCTAAAAAGTTTCTCGTAACCCCTATCCGAGTAATTTTTAATTGAACTTCATTGAGTGAGACTTGGGGAATCCTCCTGAGGAAGTTTTGGATTTGCTTTATCGCCTCTGCTAACCACAACCGTGGGTAGCATGAGAACGTGGAAATAACGGGGCGCACGTCTTTAGATTTGGCAAACCAGCGTGATCTTTACTTATTCTTGCCGTCTAGAGGACCGATTGTTTTATTAAAGCACCAGTTTCCATTCCGGGAGTGGACCAAATCTTTCATTAAAGCACCAGTTTCCATTCGGGGAGTTCACTGGCAGTGGTTAGGTACGACAGTTGAGCGCCGTAACGCTGTGGCTGCGGTTTGTTGTTTGCGAGATGCTGCTTCGCCGCGTTTAACCCCGGGCTGAGCGAGAACTCGAGCAGATTTTGGTGGCAGAGCTGAACGGAATCGGGATTTGCAGTCAGATATTTAAAACCACGGTAACTAGGAGTTTGTGAGCAATGTGGGAGCTGAGTGCCTGGCTGGTGAGCGGGGTAAGCAGGTTTTCTTTTCTTTTTTTTTTTTTTTTGAATAAGGGGAATTCAACGTGCCTGTCTGCTTTACAGGGAGGATGGGGAACTGGAAGAAGGGGAGCTGGAGGACGATGGAGGGGAGGAGGCGCAGGATCCCTCCGAGTCTCAAGAGAGGGGTCGGAAGGAGAAAGGGGAGAAGCACCACAGCGATTCGGATGATGAGAAAGCCCATCGGCGGATGAAGCGCAAGCGCCGGAAAGAGAGAGAGAAAGAGAAGAGGAGATCCAAGAAAAAAAGGAAATCCAAACACAAAGTGAGTTGCTTTTGCTTCCCGGGTCCCCCAGGATCCCAGCTCCGGTCTGCCTTCCTCTGCCACCCAGGGAATTCCCCCCCTAGCATTATTGTGGGTAATTTGAGGCTTTCCCCTAACGATAATTGCGAGGTGGGAGCGCTCGCAGGGTTTCTTGGGGTTCAGCTCCTTAACGCTTTTGTCCTCTGAGGACTGGCAGGCGCGGCAGCGGGGCACCGAGGCCTGCGGGTCAGAGAAAAATGCTACGGCACTCTCCTGTCCGTCTGAGGACGCAGAGCAGGAAGAAAACAGGTTTTTCTGCAGGGAATTCCTCTGCGAGCGCTCCTACCTTCAAGGGGATTGCAGACTGCCGGATCGGCAAAGTGGAGGGTGGTTGTTACTTAAGTTCCAGGGATTTCTGGAGCACAGGAGGCGTATTGTGTTTGTCTTCGTTAGAGACCGGTTAAATAACCTGCTGAGGGGCTTCCAGTTTGTAATTCAGTGAACGCTGAAGATTTTGTTAAGCAAAACTTGAGTTCCCTAGAAAGAGAACAGAGAGACTGAGTCGTGCCAGCCGGAGCTGGCCCGCCATAAAATCGCACCGCGCGCTTCCCTTGCCTTGCAGCGCCACGCTTCTTCCAGCGATGACTTCTCTGATTACAGCGAGGACTCAGACTTCAGTCCTGGTGAAAAGGGACACAGAAAGTACAGGGACTACAGCCCTCCCTACTCATCCGTAAGTGCCCAGGACCTGGCTGTTAGTTGGGCCGGGGGGTTTTTTGATTATTTTTCAAACCGAAGTGATGACGTTAGGCTTGGTCCGTTCCCTTCCTTCATCGCTGACCTCTCTGCTTTTCCCAAAGTCCCACCAGCAGTACCCGTCCTCTCACGGCGCTCCCATGCAAAAGAAGGGCTACTCGAAAATGGAGAGCAAGAGCTACGGCATGTATGAGGACTACGAGAACGAGGAGTACGGTCAGTACGAGGGGGAGGAGGATGAAGATATTGGGAAGGAAGATTACGACGACTTTGCGAAGGAGCTGAATCAATACCGGCGAGCGAAGGAAGGCTCTCACCGGGGGCGAGGTACGTCTAAACGTCCCTTTTCGTTTCTCTTGACCCTCGTTACCTGCGGCTCGTTTAGATCCTGCGGCCAATTAAGGCCCGGCACAGGCAGGAGGCTTCGGGAGGGCGAGCTGCTCTGCCTGGGGAGAGCCAGCTGCCACAGCCTCAGCTGCTCCTCCGCCTCAGTTTGGGACAGGGGAGCGTGGTTTTTTCCTGTTTTCCACTCCGAGGGGAAAGGTCAGATCCCTGTGGATAATTTTAATGTTTTAATTAAGCATTTTTCCTGCTGGCGTAGTTCGTTTTAAAAGCATGTAAGTGGTTGAAAATGGGTAAAATAAAGGAAAGCGTTCTTCGAAAGGAAAACGAGGTCGATTGGTAACGTAGCGAGGCTGCTCTCCTCGTGTCTGGAGCTGCAGATTTACGTTGCCTAACATACCCACGCGGAGGTCGCACCGCATTGCTTTTTATTAAAAAAGGCTGTCGTCTGGCTTCTTAAAAACCCATCCTCGTAGCACTCTGAAAACCAATTCACTGGGAAGCACGTTTTTAAGATGCCGGGGCAACCCCGTTCTGGGAGGTTATTGCTCCTGTCTCCTTGCCTGCCGTACTGCCGTGCTTTTCTTCACGGCCCTGAGGGGCGAAAGGCGACGCAGCGCCCACCCCGCCGCTCTGTTCCCTCAGGTGGCCGTGGCCGGGGCAGAGGGTACCGCGGGCGAGGTGGCAGGGGGGGGATGAGAGGAGGCCGAGGCATGGGCCGAGGAAACCGGGGGCGAGGCCGAGGCGACCACCCCGAGGAAGAAGAGGAAATGTACGACGAAGAGATGGAGGTAGGTCCCGAGCCTCTGAGCTGCTCTGAGGGAGCCGCAGCGGCGGGGGAATGTCCTCCTCCACGGTGGGGCTGCGCCTGAGGGGGAGCGGGCTTCGCGCCGGCCCTGCTCACGGGGGGCCCCGCTCTCCCGTCGTCTGCAGTACTGCGAGAACGAGGAGCCCATCGGCGACGACGACTACGACGATTACTCGAAAGAGCTGAACCAGTACCGCAGGAGCAAGGAGAACCGTGGGCGGGGTGAGTGGGGGAAGGAGCTGGGCTGGGTGGGCCCCTGCTTCCCGCTCCCTCGCACGTTGTACGGAAGGAGGGAAATTGGAAACGAGGGGGGCGTGTTGCAGGTTTAAACCGAGGACGTGGTCGCGGCCCCAGGGGAAGAGGAAATAAAGGAATGGGCAGAGGCCGAGGCCGAGGTGGAAACAGAAGTGGAATGGGGAAAGGTGGTGGAATGAATGAGGACGACGATTACTACGATGAGGACATGGGAGTAAGTAGCTCTTTTTTTTTTCCAAGGGCCTGCTGCAGCGCAGGACGCGCCCCTTCCCCTCGTCCCCTCCCTGCAAATCCAGTCGGGCTTCCAAAAAAAGCCAAAAAAAAAAAAACCAAACCACACGAGTCTTCCCCAGAGCCCACAGAAGTCATCCCGTCTCCGAAGAGGACGGATGTTTTGGCTTCTGGTCCTCTGACAGCTCCCTCGCGCCTGCTCGGCTCCGCGCCCTCCTCTCTGCCTCCCTTTTTCATCTCAAATCTCCGCGATTTTTTCCCCTCTCGGAGATGGCCGCGTCGGCAGTTCTCATTTCTCTCGCGTGATCTGTCGCTTCGTATTTCAAACTCTCGGGCAACAAACACAATCTGCTTCCGACAGGATGGAGGAGGTGGTGGAAATTACCGGCGGAACGACCACGACAAGCCCCACCAGCAGTCGGATAAGAAGGGGAAAGTGATCTGCAAATACTTCGTGGAAGGCAGGTGTACCTGGGTAAGGGAATAGTTCAAGAATGACGATGCAAGACCTCTTCCTGCGTGCACGGGGCCGTCCCTGAAGCGTCAGGCCCAGGTTTTAACCGGTTCCAGGGCGGGATTCGTGCTTACAGAGAGCGTTCTGCCAGGAGTACGCGTCCCCCTGGCCGCGCTAACCGTGCTCTGGGCTGCTGCCCACCGCCTTGGCGCTTCCACCTGCTGTAACCCGCTGTCCTGTCGCTTCCGAACAGGGCGACCACTGCAATTTCAGTCATGACATTGAGCTACCAAAGAAACGGGAACTGTGCAAGTTCTACATCACCGGCTACTGCGCCAGGGCTGAAAACTGCCCTTACATGCATGATATCCTTTTTGGGTTTTCCCGTTTCTTAACGAAAGTCTCGTTTACTCCGCGTGGAGGGGGGGCGGCGGCGGGCTAAAAAGGTCGTTCCCGGGTAACACATCCTCCTCTGGCAGGCGGAACGGCCGGGGCCGCAGACAAACCCCCGGGTTCCTCCTCAGCTTCACCTTCCCTGTTGAAGAGTCGGGGTTTGCGGCCGTTGTGCCTACAGGAAAGGGCGGCAGAAAGGAAGGCAGGGTCTTTCTGGTGACAATAGTTCAATCTCGTCGCCCTGACCGCGAAAATCCCGCGCGTTGGGAGCCGTATTTCAAAATTAAAAGCATTTGTAGCCCCTCTGGCTGTAGGGGTAACTCCTTGTTGGGGTTTATTCTCCTTAATAAACGCTACGGGACTTCCCTTGCAAGCTGTTCCACACCACGGGCAACTGTATCAACGGGGATGACTGCATGTTTTCTCACGATCCCCTCACGGAGGAGACGCGGGAGCTTCTGGACAAGGTACAGGGGGGTGTTAACGCCGGCTCACCCTCTTCTTTGTCTTCCGTGGAAGTAGGTCCCGCAGGTGGAAAGGGAGGTGGAGGATTGTTGGAGCGCGTTCTGACTCCCCTTGTCTCCTCAGATGCTGGCGGACGACGCCGAAGCAGGCGCGGAGGATGAGAAAGAAGTGGAAGAGCTAAAGAAACAGGGCATCAATCCTCTCCCCAAACCACCCCCGGGGGTCGGCTTGCTTCCCACACCACCTCGCCCTCCCGGACCGCCGGCTCCCACGTCTCCCAACGGGAGACCCATGCCCGGAGGCCCTCCCCCCCCGCCCCCGCCACCGCTTCCACCCCCGGGGCCGCAGATGCCGCCACCGATGCACGAGCCGCTGTCACCGCAGCAGCTGCAGCAACAACAGGACATGTACAAGAAAATCCCTTCGCTCTTCGAGATCGTCGTGCGGCCGACCGGGCAGCTGGCGGAGAAGCTGGGCGTGAGGTGGGGCTCACCGGCTCCGGGGGGCGCGGAGAGGGACGGGCACGGTAGATTTTTGGGTCGGGCGAGGAGCTCTGCCCTTGAAGCTGGGCACGAGCGCGTAGGAAAAATGCTTCTCCCCATTTTTGGGGCGGGCGCGGGCGCTGCTGCTCCGGGACCCCTGAGCCTGTCCCTCTAGAAGCAGAGAGAATGTGTTAAAACCGGGTTTTTTTTTTTTGGTTTGTTTTGTTTTCTCTTTCAGGCACCCAGGGCCGCCTCCCCCCAGGTTCCCCGGGCCAGGTGGACCCCCAGGCCCGATGCCTGGACCCATGCACCCCGACATGCACCCCGACATGCACCCGGACATGCACCCCGACATGCACCCTGACATGCACCCCGACATGCACCCCGACATGCACCCCGACATGCACCCCGACATGCCGATGGGCCCGGGGATGAACCCCGGCCCCCCCATGGGTCCCGGCCCCCCCATGATGCCCTACGGACCCGATGATTCCCCCCACTCCGGCATGATGCCGCCCGTCCCGCCGGCGCAGGGTTTCTACGATAATTTCTACCAGCAGCAGGAAGGTTTGGAGATGGATCACGGCATGATGGGAGACCCAGGTACGTCCCGAGGGTCTGTCGGGATCCACTCTCACACGGGTTATTCCCCCCGGCGTGCCCACGCCCAGCAAAAACCGAGTTGTCCTGCGCACCTTGGCGCTTTGCTTTTAACGCGGGGTGATCTTTCCTCGGCAGAAGACTACGGCGGTTACGAGGATATGGAAGGGCCTCCCGGAGAGCACATGTTCCCCGATCCGGCCTTGGATCACGATGACTTGTGCGAAGGAGGCCCGCCCGGCTTGGCAAAAGCCCCAGGCAGCATCCCGGATTTCATGCCGTCGGCACAAAGAGCGCTTTACCTGAGAATCCAGCAGAAGCAGCAAGAGGAGGAGGAGAGAGCTCGGAGACTCGCCGAGAGCAGTAAGCAGGAACGCGAAAATGAGGAAGGCAAGTGCCCAAATAACGTTTCCCGTTCAAATCCGCACGCGGGGGGGGGGGGGGGCGGGGGGGATAACTTGAGTCTGCTTCGCCTTCCACTCGCCCAGCGGTGGTCCCAGAAAAAAAAGGGGGGCCGTCGGAGAAACGGGGGGGGTCGGGGAGGAATTCTTTAGGCAGCAAGGGGCGCCGGACGCCTCGAAGAAAATCCCCGGCGTCGGAAGAGCGGGGAAGGGGAGCAGGTCTGCCGAAGAAGTGGGGACGGCTGGCCAGAAGGTGGAGGAGGAGATAAGGTCGCTGGCTTCAGTTGTGGTGAAGTTGGGGTTCGCTGCAGAGGAGGAAGAGGAAGAGGGGGCTGCTGGTTATTTGGGGCGCGCAAATGAGAGCAGGGAAGCCGAGGCCGTCACACGGGACCCCCCGTTTCGGCGGAGCAGGGTTGGGAATTTGAGCGGCGTTGAGTTGAGAGGGGACGAGTTCTGGGGGGCTCATCAGCCTCCCGGGCTTTAATTGGCCTTTATCAGCTGCTTTCGCTCCTCCCTCCTCCCAGGCGATACCGGTAACTGGTACTCCAGCGACGAAGATGAGGGTGGAAGCAGCGTCACCTCCATTTTAAAAACCCTAAGGCAGCAAAGCTCGGGCAGACCTCACGCCCAGCCCTCCCACGCCGAAATCGGACCACCCTCCGGTGTGAGCGACCCTCGCCTGCAGAAAGCCCAGGCGGGAGCGAGCGGTCGTCCTGCCGACCCGCGCCTACGGGATCCCAGGCTTTCCCGAAGCGCCGACCTCCCCGTCCCGGCTCTCCCCGGTGATTCGGGACCCACCGACCCCCGGCTCGCCCGACACATTCCCTCCTCCGCCCCCAAACCAGAAGCTCCTCATTCCGGCGGCGGCCAGAAGCCCCCCTTGCTCCCCGACGAGGAGGAAGGCGAGAGGGCTTTACGGGATAAACCGGTCAGCATCCCCTTGGATGCCCTCCCGGGCCATTCCCTGCGGGACCCCCGCTCCCAGCTCCAGCAGTTCAGCCACATCAAGAAAGACGTCGTCCTCACCAAACCCAACTTTGCCCGGATGATCCTGTGGAGCCCGGAGGATCTGATCCCGTTACCGATCCCGAAGCAAGAGTTTATTCCCGTCCCGGCCGCCCTTCAAGCCATGCCCACCCTCGACCCGCGTCTTAACAGACCCCAGGCGGCGCTTTCGGATCCCAGGCAGAGGGGGGGGGGCGGCGTCGGGGGACGCCGGCTCCTCCTCGGGCACCGGCCTCCCCGACTTCGAGCTCCTCTCGAGGATCCTAAAGACTGTGAGCGCAGCCGGCAGCCCGTCCGCTTCCGGCCAGAGCGACAAGCCCAGCGACCCTCGGGTGCGGAAACCCCCCGCCGACCCCAGGCTGCAGAAACCCTCGGAGACGGCCGGGCCGCGAATCCCTAAAGCCACCGAGGCGCCGGCCGCCGGCGACGCCGCCCCGGCTATCGCTCCCTACGACCCCCGGCTGCTGACGGCCGGCGGGCTGAGCAAGGGCAGCGGGCAGAGCAGCGTGCTCAGCGCCATCAGCCTCTACGACCCCCGGACTCCGAGCTCGGGCAGCAAAGCTTCCGAGTCTCCCAGCGAAGGGAACTCCTCCTCGAAGTCCTCAGATTCCGGCAAAACCCCCGGGAAAACCAAGGAACCCCTCTTCGTCCGGCGATCGGCGTTGGACCAACCCGAACCGGAGAAGGCGAGCGCCGACTCCGCCACGGACAGGTACAACAGCTACAACCGGCCGCGTCCCAAAGGCGCCGCCGCCCCCCCGGCTCAGGACGCGCCCCCCCAGCCCGGGGTACACAACCTGCCGGTGCCCCCCGTTTACGGGATGGTCAAGCAAAGCGCCAAATCGGGACCGGGGAGCCCGTTTGCCGGGAACAGCCCGGCGCGGGACGGCGAGCAGCAGGACGCCGCCTCCCTCAAAGACGTCTTCAAGGGCTTCGACCCCACCGCCTCCCCTTTCTGCCAGTAGGACCCAGAGCCAGCGGGACCCCCCGCGCCCCGGCCCCGGTCCAGCGCAGGGCTGGTAATTCCATTTCTTTTTTTTTGGGGGGGGGTGGAAGGGGGCGTATTTGGGTTTGGTTATTGGGTTTTTTTCCTTTTTAATTCCACTAGCGCTCACTTTAGCCATATAACGTGTACGTAAATCCCGGTTTCTGCTGTAACTAAAGAAAATTCCACCCCCACCCCCCCCCCCCAGCCGCCTTTTAAAAGAAGAATCTCTGCGATAACAACCAGCATTTTCTTTATTTTAGAGCTTTTTTTTCCTCCCCCCCCCCCCAAAAAAAAAAAACCAAAACCAACCCAACCCAACCCAAAACCCAATCAAAATCACCCCGTGTGGGGGAACAAGAAGAATCTCCGCGTTTCAAAGAGCGACGCTCGCGGAGGATCAGTTACCGATATTCTTCATTTCTTGCTTTAAAAAGCCGCGCCGATGGGTCGTGGGGGGCATTTTTACACCGGAATTAACTAAAAATCTTTGTATTATAGTCTTTTTCTAAAATTCTGCTGTGGCGAACAGGAGGAACCATAAAAAAAAAAAAAAAAAAAAAACACAAAACCCCCCCAGAACCCCCCGTGAAATTGCTTTTGTAATTGTGGGGAGGGGGCATTGCTGGGTTCTTTTGATTTTTTTTTTTTTTTTTTTTTTTTATTGGAAGTAAATATTTTTATGCCGTTTCTTGGAGATTTTGGAAACAACCAGGGCTGCGAATCCCCGAGAAGGTGACAAAATATTTACAGCCCCCAAAAGTTTTGCAGTCTACCAAAAAAATAAAAAAAAAAATAAAAATAGAAGTTTGTATTATTGAAATTAAATTATTAATCTCAAATTATTTCGCTCCTATGTATTTTGCATCCAGAAAAGGGGCTTTTTTTCCCCAAAAAAAAAGGCAGGTCTGCGCTTGGAAGCTCTCGGTGTCTTTTTTTTTTTTTTTGCCGTTGTCAAGACGAAATTGTCCTTCCCAGCACGGGATGGGATTGGAAAATGGAGCTAAAATCCAATTCCAGCTGGAAAAAACATTTTTTGGGGGGGAAAAAACCACATTTCGGAGCAGCCAGCGCCGAGGTGACTGCGATCCGTGCGAAACCCCCCCACTCGTTCCTTTGCAGCGATAAACTCCCCATTTTGTTATCGCTCCTTCAAATTCACGATGGGGTTTTCTCAACCCGTCGCCCCACAGATTATTTTCCCTCGGCGTTTCGAGCGGCCGGGGGTTGCTTTGAGCGGGGAAAAAACCTGAACTTTTTGTAAAATGATTTATTACTATTTTATTTTATAGGGATTTAAAAAAAAAAAAAACAAAACACACACAAAAAAAAAACAAAAACAAAAAAACAAAAACCAGCTATCGAAGCCGGTCGGGTTTTTTTTTCCGCCTCCGGAGGTTTCGAAGCAGCGCGATTGTAATAAATGTGTAAATAATTGTTTTGGAGTCGCGGTCGTTGATGGAAACACCTGGGTTTGCACCAAAACTGGTGTCTGGGGTTGGGCTCTTTTTGCCCTTTTCTTCTCTTTTTTTGAGCGTCCCTTCCTTCCAAACGCCGTTGAGGCGCTGGTGGTTGAGCCTCGGCGCCCCGGGGTTGGGGTGCAGGTGGGGGGTTTGGGGGTGCAGGTGGGGGATTTTGGGGTGCAGGTGGGGGGGGTTAGGGTGTGTCCAGGGGTTTGGGGTGCATTTGGAGGGTTTTGGGGTGCACCTGGGGGGTTTGGGGTGCATCTGGGGGGTCTTGGGGTGCAGCTCGGGGATTTTGGGGTGCAACTGGGGGGGATTGGGGTGTGTCTGGGGGGGTTGGGGTGCATCTGGGGGATTTAGGGGTGCAAGTGGGGGATTTTGGGGTGCATTTGGGTGGTTTAGAGGTGCAATTGGGGAGGCTTTAGGGTGCAGGTGGGGGGATTTAGGGGTGCATTTGGGAGGCTTTGGGGTGCGTCTGGGGTTTTGGGGTGCAGGTGGGAGGGCTGGGGGGTGAGTGTGGGGTTTGAGGGTGCAGGTGGGCGGGTTTTGGGGTGCAAGTGGGGGATTTTGGGGTGTCTGGGGGGGTTGGGGTACAGGTGGGAAGTTTTGGGGTGTGTCTGGGGGGTCTTAGGATACAGGTGGGGGATTTTGGGGTGTGGGGGGGTTTGGGGGTGCAAGTGGGGGATTTAGGGGTGCAGGTGGGGGGTTTGGGGGTGCAGGTTTTGGGGTGCATTTGGGGGGGTTTGGGGCTGTGTCTGACAATTTGGGGGTGCATGTGGGGAGCTTGGGGGCATCCAAGGGGTTTGAGGGTGCATCTGTGGGGACCTTTGGGGTTCCCAGGGGTGCATGTGGCGTTTTTGGGGTTCCCCCCCCAACCCCACCCAATCCCTCTGGGCACCCCAAAATCCTCACAAATAAACTGGGGGGAGCCCCCACATTCGAGAGGGGAGGGGGGCAGCACCCCAGTATTCCCCCCCCAGGGCTGTGGAGCCCCAACAACTTTTGGGGTACAGTTTGTGCCCCCCCCAACACCCCCAGCCCCCCTCCCAGTACTCCCAGTGTCCCCCCCCCCATTTTATCTACATAAGCGATTTTAGGGGCTGAGCGTGGCGGTTTGGGGGGGGCAGCACCCCATTTTTTGGGGAGGAGAAGTGCAGTGACATAAAGTTGGGGCGTGGGGGGGGGTCCCCACGTGGGGGGGTGTCACGTGTGTGGGTGTCCCCACCCGTGAATCCGCCCCCACGTGGGGGGGGGGGGGGGGGGGGAGCGCTGCTGAGCTCGTGCCTAAATATGGAGCTGGCGGAGGGAGGCGGGCGATGCTGGGGTGGGGGGGGCTGTTTTGTTTTTTTTTTAGGGGGGGTCCCCAATTTTTCGAGGGGGGTCCCCACCACACGCCAGCCCCACCCATGAGGCACAGCGAGTTTTTATTCCGTGTGGGAGGGGGGGTGTGGGGGTGTGGGAGGCGGCAGGGGGGTGTCAAAGGATTTACATAGTGGGTGGGTTTAAATAATGTACAGCGGGTGCTGGCGGGGGGGCGGGGCACCCCTAAATGGGTGCTGGAAGTGGGGTGACCCCCCCCCCCACGGTCACGAGTGGGGCGGGGAGGGCTCACGGGGGGGGGAGGTTGGGATCATCCGGGCTGAGTCGCTGTAGGACTTGTTGCTTCGGCAGCCCCTTCAGTTGCGTGAGGAGCTCCCGTATGAAGTCCTGCTTTGTTTTTTTTGGGGGGGGGGGGGGGGAGAAATATAAAAAAAAAAAATGGGGGGCTAATTAGTTAGTTAATTAGTTAATTAAGGACCCCCGCAAAAAATTAAGGCCCCCCCCAAGCTGCTGCCAGAGATAAGCGGGGAGGAAAAGGCCCCCCCGGAGGAAGCTGGAGCCAAATATTTTTGCCTTTTAAAGCCCGGTTGGAGCAGCCGGAGTTGGGAGAATGCGAGGGGGGGGGGGGTGTTGGGAGTGTGTCCCCCCCCACTCGTGTCCCCACCCCACGCGTGCCCCCCCCTCACCCCATGGGGATACCCCCCCCCCCCCCCGTGGGTGCGTACCTCGGTGTCGGCGGTGCAGGACTTGAGGATGCCCTGGAGGGATGGAAGAGGGGGTGGGGGGTGTCATGCGTGGCCCCCCCACTCAGAACTCGCGTGGGGGGTGGTGGGTGGGAGGGGGTGTCTGTGTGTGTGTCCCCCCCCCCAGAAAAGAAAAGAAAAACACCAAACCCCACCTGCAGTTTCTGGGCTCGCTCCTCGTCTGTCTCCAGCTCCAGGAGGTCGTCGATGTTCACCTCATCCGGCATCTCCCCCTCCTGCCACGCGTGGGGGGGCCCCGTGGGTGTCCCCCCCGAGCCCACCAGGCGCCACGCGTGGGTATCCCCCCCCCAACACGCGCATGTGTGCGGCGGGGGGGGGGGAGGGATGTCCCCAAGCCCTCCACGCACTCTAAGCGTCCCCCCCACCCCCTCCCCACGCAGCTCTCGGGTGTCCCCGGCATTCCACGCACCCCGCGTGCGCGGCGTGCCCCCAACCCCTCCCACGCACCCCGCGTGTCCCCAACCCCCCCCCCGCCCGCGCGTGTCCCCACCCCCCCCCCCCCCCCCCGGCCATATCCCCACTCCCTGCACATCCCCGCTTCCCCACGCGTATCCCCCCACCCCCCCACTGCTTATCACCGACTCCCCCCACGCGTGTCTCCTCCCCCCGCGTGTGCGTGTTATCGGCTCCGGCGCGATAACACACCAACCGCCCCCCCCTCCCACCCCACCCCCCCCCCCAAAAAAAAATGTTCCCATCCCTTTTCCCGGCGTCTCTCCGCGTCGCTCCCACGCGCGGCCCTCTCCCACACCCAAACCCACGCGTGACCGCTTTACCCGCCCCCGGTAGAGCTCCTCGAGCCGCCCGTCGATCCACTGCTCGGTGTCCAGCCGCCGCTGCAGCTCCCGCCGGTTGTACTTGACCGTCACCCGGGCGGGTCGGCGCTGGAGCCCGGGGCTGCGGGCGGGGGGTTGCGGGGATCCCCCCCCCCCCCGCCCCTGCCGCCGCCCCACGCGGTTCGCCGCCATCGCTCGGGACACGGGTGGGGCGTGGGGGGGAGCGGGGGGGGGGGGGGGGGGGGAGGGGGGAGGGGCCACGGGAGGGAGGGGCTGTGCCGGGGGAGGAAGGGGGGGGGCGGTGTGAGGGAGAGGGGGCTGCTCTCCGACCCCCCTCCCCGGGACCTATAGCGCCCACAGCTCCTCTAACCCTATAGCCCCTATAGCCCCTATAACTCCCTATAGCCCTCTATAACCCTCTATAGCCCCTACAGCCCCCTATAGCCCCTATAGCATTCTATAGCCCCTATAACCCTCTATAGCCCCTATAGCCCCTATAACCCTCTACATGCCTCTATAGCCCCCTATAGCACCCTATAACCCTCTATAACCCTCTATAGCCCCTACAGCCCCCTATAGCCCCTATAGCATTCTATAGCCCCTATAACCCTCTATAGCCCCTATAGCCCCTATAACCCTCTACATGCCTCTATAGCCCCCTATAGTACCCTATAACCCTCTATAACCCTCTATAGCCCCCTATAACCCTCTATAGCCCCCTATAACCCTCTATAGTGCTCTATAGCCCCTATAGCCCGCTATAGCCCCCACAGCTCCTGTGAACTCTGTAGACCCTATAGAACTCCAGAGCACTCGCAGTTCCCCTAACCTTATAGCCCCCTATAGCCCCCTACAGAGCCCACAGCTCCCCTAATCCTATAGCCCCTATAGCCCCTATAGCCCACTACAGCCCCCTGTAGCCCCTTATAGCACCCACAGCTCCTGTGAACTCTGTAGACCCTATAGAACTCCAGAGCACCCGCAGCTCCCCAAACTCTATAGCCCTTGTAGCCCCCTATAGCCCCCACAGCTCCCATGAACCCTACAGACCCTATAGCACCCACAGCTCCCCTAACCTTACAGCGCCCTATAGCACCTGTGGCACCCACCACTCCACTAAACATATAGCCTCCCATAGGGGCCACAGTTTCCCCAATCCTATAGTGCCCTATAGCGCCCTATAACTCCTCTAGCACCCCTAACCCTATAGCCCCTATAGGTCCTGTATCCCCTATAGCGCCCACACCTTCTCTAACCCCGTAGCCCCTATAGGGACCGCAGCTCCCCTAACCCTATAGCCCCCACAGGTCCTGTATCCCCTATAGCCCCAATAGTGCCCACACCTCCTCTAACCCCGTAGCCCCTATAGGGACCGCAGCTCCCCTAACCCTATAGCCCCTATAGCCCCGGGTCCCCCAGGGCCGTGGTGCAGCGGTTTTTCCCGCGCCGCATGCAAACGAAGGGGCGGGGCTTGGAGGCGACGCCCGGGCGGGCGGGAGCCGCGCTCGGGGGTGGGGCGGGGCGGAGCTTAGTGGCGGGGGTGGGCGGAGCTTCGCAACGGGGCGCGGTCTGACCGCGGGGGCGTGGCTCAGGAACTGGGCGTGGTTCGCCAAAGGGCGGGGGGGGGGCACCTGCGCGCCCCGGGGGCTGGAGGGGCGGGGCGCACCTGTGTGACGTCAGCGGGGCGGGGCGTACCTGGGTGACGTCAGCGGCGGCGGCGGCCATGGCGGCGGGGCGGTTCTTCCCGCTGCTGCTGCTCCTGCTCCTGCCCGCGGCCGCCGCCATCGAGGCCCGGCCCGGCCCCAACCGGCTCCTCCCGCTCGGTAACGGCCGCCCCCAGGGCCCGGGGCCTCCTGGGGGGCTTTGGCGGCGGCGGGGACGCGGATCGTGAGGGGACGGCCCTGGGGGGTCGCGGCCTTTGAGGGGCCTGAGGGGGTCTTGACCTTCGGGGGGGTCCTCGCCTTGAGGGGGGCGCTCCGAAGGCTCCTGGGGGGGACCTGAGGGGGTCCTGACCTCTGGGGGGGGGTCCTGGGAGGGTTTAAGGGGAGTCCCTGACTTGAGGGGGGGGCTCTGAGGGCTCCTGAGCGGGTCCTGACCTTCGTGGGGGGGTCCCCGCCTTGAGGGGGGGCTCCGAAGGCTCCTGGGGGGGACCTGAGGGGGTCCTGACCTCTGGGGGGGGGTCCTGGGGGGGCTCCGAAGGCTCCTGGGGGGGACCTGAGGGGGTCCTGACCTTCGGGGGGGGGTCCTGGGAGGGTTTAAGGGGAGTCCCCGACTTGAGGGGGGGCTCTGAGGGCTCCTGACCTTCGTGGGGGGGTCCCTGCCTTGAGGGGGGGCTCCGAAGGCTCCTGGGGGGAACCTGAGGGGGTCCTGACCTTCGGGGGGGGGCGGATTCCCGCCTTGAGGGGTGGGCAGTGGCTTTGGGGGGGACTAAGGGGGATCCTGGGAGGGTTTGGGGGGGGTCCCCGCCTTGGGGGGGCGCTCCGAAGGCTCCGTGGGGGGGACCTGAGGGGGTCCTGACCTCTCGGGGGGGGGTCCTGGGAGGGTCCCTGCCTTGAGGGGGGGCTCCGAACGCTCCTGGGGGGGAACTGAAGGGGTCCTGACCTTTGGGGGGGCCCATATGAGGGTTTAAGGGGGGTCCCCGCCTTGATGGGGGGCTCTGGAGGTTCCTGGGGGGCAGGCTGTGGCTTTGGGGGGACCTGGGGAAGTCCTGGCCTTTTGAGGGGGGGGTCCCCACCTTGAGTGGGGGGCTCTGGATGCTTCTGGGGGGCAGGCTGTGCTTCTGGGGGGTCTTTAGGGGCTTCTGTAAGGGCACTGAGGGGGTCCTGACCTTTGTGGGGGGGTGTCACAGCATTGAGGGGAGGGGCTGTGAAGCCCTCTGAGGGTTTGGGGGGGCAGCTGTGGCTTTGGGGGGGCTCTGGGGCCTCTGTAAGGGCTTGGGGGGGTGACTGGTTTTAGGGGGGCTCTGTAAGGGGGTTGTGGCCTTTGGGGGGGGCCTAGGGAGAGCCTAGGGGCTGTGGGGTGATCCTGGGTCCCGGGGGGGGGTCTCTAAATCCTCCTGGGGGTGTCCAGGCCCTTTGGGAAATGGGGCGGGGGGGGGGGGGGGATGTCTCTGGTCCTGGTGGAGTGTGGCCCTGCTGCTACTTCTCCAGAAAGAGCCCCAGTTCCCTTTTTTTTGTCATTATTAAACCCAAAATAGCTCATTGTTCGTTCCTTCTGCGGGGAGGGGGCTGGGGGGGGCCAGTCCGGCAGCTCTGCTTGGTCAAAAAGGGGGGTGTGTGTGTCCCCCCCCCCAATAACTCCAATCTTCCCCTTTACCATGAGGGAATCCAACCCGAGCCCCCCCTGGACACCCCGGGGTTGGTTTGGGGGTGATTTTAGGGGGGTTCAGAGCACCCCCAGACTCAGAAGGGGGGGGGGCAGGACCCGTCCCGCTCCCTCAGGCTTTTTCCCCAGCAAAAGTCCCGTTCCCAGTTATCCCGGCGGATCCCAGCGGATCCCGGGAGCCCTGGAGGGAGCGAGTTTGCCCGGTCGCTGCCCTCACAGCTCCGTAAACAGGAAACAACTTGCACTTTTAAACCGAGCTCGTTACCTCGGCGCCTTAACGAGGAAAAAAAAAATTGTGGATAGCTGGAGTCTCACCCCGCTGGGAATTTTCCCTGCAGCCACAAATGTGGCTCGGGGGGGGTTATTTTTGAAGGTATTTCCTCATTTGCAGCTGGAAACGGAATCCCACCCGGATAATTTTGCGGCATCTGGGTCGTGGCCGCCGGCGCTTCCCACCCCCCGAACCTCAGCAGGACCCCGGGAGGGGGGTTAATGGGGGGGGGGCAGCACACAGAGCCCCCCCAAACCTCCCCGTGGCTCTCAGGGGCTGTGCCCCCCCCCCCATTTCCAAACCCACCGGGAAGTCGCTGAGGGGGTGGTTTCCTGATGGGGGATTTTGATAAAGCCCAAACTTGGGGATTTGGGCTCAATTTTGTCTACAACTGGATGTCTCTGGCTCTTCCGTTTATTATTTTTTTATTATCATTCTGTTTATTATTCCACTTGCCATCATTATTTGGTTTATTAGTTGGTTTATTATTGTCAATTTATTAATATTCACTTTATTCTTATTTGGGTTCGCATTGCCAATTTAGTATTGCCAATTTTTATTCTTTAGTTTATTATTGTCAATTTTACTATTATTATTATTCAATTTATTTTTATTATTTGGTTTATTACAGTCAACTATTCTTCGGTGCCTTCTTATTCTTTGGTTTATTTTTCAGTTTATTCTTATTCTTTGGTTTATTCTTCAGTTCATTCTTATTCTTTGGTTTATTCTTCAGTTTACTTTTATTCAGTTTATTCTTATTATTCTTCGGTTTATTCTTATTTAGTTTATTATTGGCGATTTATTCTTATTCGGTTTACTCTTATTCTTTGGTTTATTATTGTCAGTTTACTGTTATTCTTCAGTTTACTCTTATTATTTGGATTAGTATTGCCAGTTTATTTGTATTACTCTTCAGTTTATTACTTGGTTAATTATTCATTATCCTGGCGGATGCGCCAGGAGTCGGTGCTGAGCCAGTAAATCCCATTTGAGCCAGGAAACGCCTCCCCAGCCCGGTGGGGGTTGCGCCTGGCCCCCGGGTTTGGGGAAAGCGGGGGGTTTTTTGGGTCACCATTAATGTCTTTTTTTTGTTTTGTTTTTTTCCCCCCCGTTTCCCCCGCGGGCAGAGCTGTGCTCGCTGCCGAAGGCGGTGGGACGGTGCCGGGCCTCGATGCCGCGCTGGTGGTTCAACGCCACCGGCGGCTCGTGCCAGAGCTTCGTCTTCGGCGGCTGCGAGGGCAACGGCAACAACTTCCCGACGGAGCGGGAGTGCCGGGAGAGCTGCGCCCGCCGCGCCGGTACGCGGGGCTGGCCTCGCGGTCCCACCCCGACCTGCGCTAGCCCGCTTCCCCCTAACTGCCCCGCTGCCAGCCACCCCCAGCCACCCCCCAAACCCGTCGTCTGGGGTTTCTGTAATTGCTCCGGCGTTAAAGCGACCCAAAATCACCCCCCAAATTGGGTTATTTGGGGTTTCTGTAATTGCTCTGCCGTTAAAGCGACCCAAAATCACCCCCCAAATCGGTTATTTGGGGTTTCTGTAATTGCTCTGGCGTTAAAGCGACCCGCAATCACCCACCAAATTGGGTTATTTGGGGTTTCTGTAATTGTTCTGGCATTAAAGCGACCCACAATCACCCCCCAAATCGGGTTATTTGGGGTTTCTGCAATTGTTCTGCTGTTAAAGCGACCCGCAATCACCCACCAAATTGGGTTATTTGGGGTTTCTGTAATTGCTCCAGCGTTAAAGCGACCCGCAATCACCCACCAAATTGGGTTATTTGGGGTTTCTGTAATTGCTCCGGCATTAAAGCGACCCGCAATCACCCACCAAATTGGGTTATTTGGGGTTTCTGTAATTGCTCTGCCGTTAAAGCGACCCGCAATCACCCACCAAATTGGGTTATTTGGGGTTTCTGTAATTGCTCTGCCGTTAAAGCGACCCGCAATCACCCACCAAATCGGGTTATTTGGGGTTTCTGTAATTGCTCTGGCGTTAAAGCGACCCGCAATCACCCACCAAATTGGGTTATTTGGGGTTTCTGTAATTGTTCCGGCGTTAAAGCGACCCAAAATCACCCCCCAAATTGGGTTATTTGGGGTTTCTGTAATTGTTCCGGTGTTAAAGCGACCCCCAGTCACCCCCCAAATCGGGTTATTTGGGGTTTCTGTAATTGTTTTGGTGTTAAAGCGACCCACAATCACCCCCCAAATTGGGTTATTTGGGGTTTCTGTAATTGTTCCGGTGTTAAAGCGACCCACAATCACCCCCCAAATCGGTTATTTGGGGTTTCTGTAATTGTTTTGGTGTTAGAATGCCCTGAAGTGGCACAGCAAATTGGGTTATTTAGGTTCTCTTTAATTTTTTTGATGTCATACACCCCAAAACAACCCACCAAACTCGGCTATTTTGTTTGGGTTTTTTTTTATTACTGTTTTGGGATCAGACACCCCAGAATAACTCCCATAATTGGGTTATTTGGGGGGGGGGAGGTTGAGGCCGAAGCAATAAAAAAGCCCAAAATAACCCTATTTGGTGGGTTAATCGGGTTGTTTGTTTATGATTGTTTTGGTGCGAAACACTCCAAAATAGCTCACCTGATTGGGTGATTGGGGGTTATTTTCTATTGTTGTGGTGTCAAACACCCCAAAATAAAAAAACTCCAGGTTCTTTTATTATTTTGATTTCAAGTACCCCATAATAATCCAGTCGGGTGGATTATTTGGGGTTGGTTTTTTTTTTTTATCGTTTTGGTGCCAAACACCCCAAAATAATCCATTCTGATGGGTTATTTGGGGTCGTTTTCTGTTGCTTTGGTGTCAAACGCCCCAAACTAAACTGAAAGCTTGGGGTTATTTTATTGTTTTGGTGCCAAAGACCCTGAAATAATCCTCTTTGGTTGGGTTATTTGGGATGGTTGCCGATCGTTTTGGTGCCAAACACCCCAAAATAACTCACCGGATTGGGTTGTTTTCTACTGCTTTGGTGTCAAAACCTCCCCCAAGAAACCAAAAAAAATGAAGGTTTTTCATCGTTTTGCTGTCCGACACCCCTCAGTAACCCACCCAATCGAGGGAGCTTACTGCTTTGCCAGCCCCCCCCCCCATAACCCAGCGAATCCCCCCATGACGGGATTTGCCCTTTTCCCCAGCTCCGCAGAAGCCCGAGCACCGCGCCGAGCCCACGGACGCCGCCTTCGACGGTAAAATCCCTGCCCACCCCCCCCCCAGCTCCTCAGGCTGCACTGGGAGAGTTTGGGGAGCGCTCTGCGCCCCTAAATCCCCCCCCTGTTTGCCCCCCCCCCCCCAGAATACTGCACCGTGCCCCGGGTGACGGGGCCGTGCCGGGCGTCCTTCCTGCGCTGGTACTACAGCCCCGGCAACCGGAGCTGCCGCCAGTTCATCTACGGCGGCTGCCGCGGAAATAAAAATAATTATCAGAACGAAGAGGATTGCCTGAACCGCTGCGGGCCCAAGCCAGGTAAGAGAAAAAAAAAAAAGCGGGGAGGTGGGGGGGGGGGGCAACAGGAGGGCGTCCCCCCCACCCCGAGTGGCTTTCGGGACACCCCAGGGTCCCTTCTCCCGCCACCTCACTCCGGTTTCCCCACAGAAAATACTGGCGGCGCCGGTGCCGACCTCCGCAGGGATCTTCTCTCCAGCAGAGGTAAGCGTCGCTCCCCACGCCGGGACAAACCAACACCTCTTGGTTTGGTTTGGTTTGGTTAATTTTGGGGTGTGGGCCCCCCCCCCTGTCCCTGCAGCGCTGGCACTGGGGGTGCTCCTGGCCGTCCTGGCAGCTATTTTGTTGGGTTACGTGACGGACGTCACCCTCAAGACGTGCCGGAGAAAACCGGAGCTGCCGGGAGCGGGAACGGGCTGGAGCCCCGGGGACGACAAGGAGTATCTGATGAGCAACGCCTACACCCTCTGAGGGGGGGGGAGCCCCCTTTCTGGACCCCCCAGAAGCGGGGAGACCCCCCCCCCCCCCTCTTTCCCCCAAAATGACTTCTCTGGTGCATTTTGGGCACCTCGCTTGTTCTTTATAATTATTTTTCTCTTTTTGGGGCGGGTTGGTTCGTGTGTTGTTTTTTATTTTTAATTCTTTTGTAGTAAAACAGGTGTGGGGGATTGCGGGGGGGGGGGGGGGCGGGAGGCACCCCTAAAATCACTCACCCCCCCTTGGGTGGGAGGGGGACTCCCCTTTTCCCAGCTCTTCCCACTGGGATTTGGTGGCTGGCTGGACCCGAGAGGGCTGGGGCCCTCTTCCAGTGATTTGGGGGGGGGTCACAGTGATTTTTGGGGTGGGGGGGATCCCATTGATTTTTGGGGGGGGGGGGGGGTCCCAGTGATTTCAGGGGGCCCCATCCCCTTGCTTTGTGGGGGTGGGTGGGCACAGGGGGGGGGGTATTTGTGATTATTGAATCAACCAGATTTGGGGGTTTAATTATTAATTTGGGGTTTTATATATTAGAGGGATTTTTTTTTTTTTTTCCTAAATAAAGGGAGATGTGAATCACCCTCTAGGGGGGGCTCAGGATTTTTGGGGTGGGTGGGGGGTACCCTGAAAGCACCTCAGGGGTTCAAACAGGGAGAGGGGGGAAGCTCTGAGGGAGCTGGGACCCTCCCTCAGCCTGGATGAAGCTTTGGGGGGGGGGGGGGGGGGGGGGACAGACAAAAAATGGGTGCTCACTCCCCCTATCTTGGTTTGGGACACACACACACACACACCCCCCCAAGTTCCAGGACTCACCCCCCTACACACACCCCAATATAGCCTAGGGACCCCCACAGCCCTGGGACCCCTACCCCCAACTTGGGGACCCCCAACACCCCCGGAACCCCAAACTTTGGCACCCTGTAGCCCCATCTTGACCTGGGGACACCACACACACACACACACCCCCCCCAAACACTCAGGAAACCCCATAGTCCTGGAACCAGCCCTGCCCCCCCCCCAGCACCCCACACCCCTGCGGTGACCCCCAAAACCCCTGGGACCCCAACTCTGCTGGTACCCCATAGCCCTGGGACTTCCCCCCCCCCCCAACACACACACCTTGGCCTGGGGACCCCCACCCCTCACTATCCCAGGATCCCCCCAGACCCTGGGGTGCCCCCCTCCAACTCCACCCCCCCCCCAATTTCCCCTCCCCCCAATTCCACACCCACACCCCCCCCCCAACAGCTACTTCTACTTCCTCCAGCTCCAACAATGAGGGGAAGATAAAGACACAGCCCCCCCTCAATGTCCCCTGCACCCTGGGGGGGGGACACACACGGACACACACCCCTAAATATACCCCCCCCACACCCCCCCCCAGCACCACAGCCCCAGGCACACAAAAAAAAGACAAAGTGCACAAGAAGCCCAAGAAAAAAAAGAAGAAAAGGCACTGGGGGGGGGCGGGGGGGGGGGGGGAGGGACTCAGGAGGTGACAGGGGGGTGACAAGTCCCCCCAAACCCCCCCCCCGTGGGGTGTCACACACACACACCCCCCTTTTCTGCTAATAAGGAGCAGAGTCCACTGGTGTCACTGATTGGGGACACAGGGGACAAAGTCCCAGGGGTGCACCCCAAAATCCTGGAGGGGGGGGAATGATACAGCTACTCCTCAATGGGGGGGGGGGGGGGGCTGGACAGAGGGGACCCCAAAACCTGGTGGCTCCAATGGGAGGGGGACCCATGCCCCGAAAAACAACACCCCCCCAACGAGAGGGGGGGCTCCCCACTATCCCAACCAAACCCCCAAGGAGCACGTACCCCCTCAAAAAGTGGGGTGACACCCCCCCCGAAAATCAGGGCAACCCCTTAAAAAGCAGGGTAGTACCCCAAAAAGTGGGGTAACACCCCCCCCCCAAAAAAAAAAAAGAGGGTACACACACACAGTGCTCCCTGGGCGTTTATTGAAGCAGCCAAGGGCAAAGTGGGATGGGGGGGGGGTGGGGGTGGAAATCAGGGTGGGCTGTTGGAAAAATTGGGGTTCAGGGGGGGCCCCCCCTCACGTGAGGAGGTGGTAGGTGAGCCAGTACATGAAGAAGGGCTGGGCGGCGGCGATGGCCATGGTCAAGTACATCCGCAGCTGGTTCTTGGCCCCTCGCACCAGTACGCCCTCGGCCGCCGCCTCCGACAGCAGCTTCAGCCGCAGGGTCCTGATCTGGGGGGGGGGGGAAGAGCAAAAAGAGGGGGTGACCCCCCCCTTAAACCCCCCCCCCCACTTCAATTTTCCTCCCCTTTTTTCATTTTCCTTACCATGAAGATGAAGATGCTGAGGCAACACCAGCTCAGCACCACGTAGTACGTGGTGCGGCCGAAGAGGAGCCCGGAGATGAGCCCGATGATCATCCTGCCAAAAGGAGCGTTATTAGGGTGCGACCCCCCCCTAAATTAAACACACACACACCCACACCCCCCCCCCCCCGCCTTCAGAACAATCTCTCACCCCACGTATTTGTAGCCGGCGAAGGCGAGGAGGTCGATGGTGGTGAGGTCGGTGGTGATGGTGACGAGGTAGAGGCTGAAGAGCACGGCCAGCACCTCCACGATGAGCCAGGCCAGCGCCGAGCTCGCCTGCAAGCCCAGGCTGTCTGGGGAGAATCTGGGGGGGGCGGGGGGGCCCCTTTAATTGGAGCCTTAAATTTGAGGGGGGCACAGCTTTGTCTGCACCCCCCTTTTTTTGTTTGTTTTTCGAGGGGCGGTGGTGTCACCTGTCTTGGGTGCCCAGCGCCAAACCAGCGACGACGATGTAGGTGATGAAAGCCATGACTGCAGGGGGGGAGGGGGTGTTATCGGGGGGGGGGGGGGGGGCCCCAAAACTGGAGGGGGGAGGAAGGGGTGTCCCTGGGGGTTTAGGGGGGATTTTCAGGGCGTTTTGGGGCTCCCTGGGGGCTTAGGGGGGGACTCCCAGGGGCTTTGGGGGTCCCTGCATGTTTGGGGAGGATTCCCAGGGGTTTGGGGGCTCCCTGGGTGGCAGTGGGGGGGATTCCCAGAGGC